TCCACATCATCTAAGCTACCTTAGAGTTCGAGCCATGTTAATTACCGTGCATGTTATCTGCTTATGCAATTGCATGTTATTTCTGTTCTACTTTCCTGCTGATTCAACTGATCTATCTTAAAGTTTTCTTCCAGTTTAAGGACCAAATTCGTAAAGGAACTCAACCGCTAAACGGCACACTTAAATTAACTAGCTTGAACATGTAAGAGCTGTACGTCAAATCAAATACTTTTTTACTGTTTGATTTCTGTAATATTTATGATAAAGTTAATAACCTTATTGCATTTCACGTTTTCTGTCACACTCGTGAACTGTAAATTTACCAAAACTGTACATAGCCTCCTGGGTGTATCCAAATTTAACATCAAGTTGTTAGAGCATTGCTGTCATCCATCGATGATACATGTATGGTCACACAAATCCCAGTCTGAGAAACCCTATCGGCTTTATGGTGAATATGTCTTTGTATTGCCTGAGTGTATTTTCTTCCCTCCTATCCCCTCCCCCCACACACGGACACCCTACAGTATTCTGTTCTTCATATACCCAGCACGATCTCCCACTCTCTCTCACACACTGTCTCTCACACACATACCAAAATATCTTGAATTGGCTCTGCCTTTTGTGCCTTTTTTTGTTTTGAGATCCGTTGCTCAAACCCTCAAGTTCTTTCTTGTAGCCAAAGGAAAAAAATAGCGGCACAGAAAGAACAATTGAGATGAGAGAAAATTCCATGCCGTCCTCCTCCTCTTCTCTGCACAGCTTCTCTTCTAACCACACTTTGTATGATTCAAAAAATGCTGAGAGGCTTGGGCAGCAGATGTGAGATTTCAGGGAAAATAACGAGTAATGAATCGCTTGAACACTCATCTAGTCACATACTGTATATGCTGTTCTCTCCTTCCTGTGGCTGATGGATCCATTTGTCAAAAGAGGTGCTTCCTATTCTTCCTCTCATGTCTGCACTTCAAACACACATTCAGAAAACTCCGTCGATGCTCACTTTTGTGAGTCAGTATTCTTCACATTTAAATGACTTTGTATCCTAAAATTAATTATATTCGTACGTTGAATACTGATAAGCTAATAGATACAATGAAACTGGGAGCTTCTTTTGGTTTTTGCCTAATGATGATCCTCTGTTGAACATTTTGAAAACCGAAGGAAGCATTTTTGATATCTCCATCCACTCAATGTGAAACACGTGTTTAGGGGATAATTACCACTAAAGCCCTGAAACAAAGGAATTAAATTCTACAGCAGCAGCAGCAGCAGGGGAAAGCCACAGTTTTATTGAGATTATCTTCTCAGCATTGCAAAGCCAGAGGAAGACACTCCCACCACGTCTGTGACCAAAGGAAACATGGAAGCAAAGAGGGATAAAACAATAATACAATACCAATAAATATGTCTCAAGGTCCTCATCCCAACTAAATCAATCAGAATTTATACATATATGTAACCTTGGCTTCCATATATTTAACTTAACTAAATGTTTATGGTTTTGCAAACTTGTGGAGAATGCATTGTTTCGTGCATCATGTGTGTCTTGAGTCTTAAGCTTGAAAATCCAAACACAAACGTTCACAAAAACAGAGATTCTTCACTCTCCCAGAACAGCTGGCCCGTTCTCTGTTCTGATACTGACTGATATCACTGATGCCTTTGACAAACTCAACAATCAATTTTTCTCTCTGTGCTAGCATAAATAGTTATTAGCATGGCAATTATTTCAATCCTTCATCATCAGTTGTTTCTGTCAAGTGATGCAGAAAGATATACACTGTGCTGCCTCACACACTGGTGTCCCATGAGGTTCAGTGGTGGGACCCTTCCGTTTGTCACTGTACACAGAATCTCTTGGTTGTGTAATCATGACATATGAATTTCCATCCATATGTTGATGACAGTCCACAGCTGATTGATTGGCTAATTCAAATTACGCATGAAATAGATTAGGAATAACCTATTTTAATCCTGTGTACAACATTAATGATTGAATAACTGTCTGATGGAACTTTTTTCTGATTTTCCTTCACCTCATTTGGATCACCATCCTCATGCCACTTAAGGACCAGATGCAGTCCACTCTGAGCTGGGAGAGCTTATGGGAATGCGGTATATGCAGTGCGTGTAAGCATTCTTCATATTGGCCTTTTATCACTCTGAGAACACTGCTTCAGTGATGTTGATCTGTTGAGCCACCGGCTGTTAAACCAAAAAATACATTTTTCCACGAGCAAAATAATAGGATTTAGAGATACATGGAGAGAAACTTGGAGTTATTTAATATAGGAAATATTAGGAAGTAGTTTACAATGAAAGAAGACAGCAAGGAGAGATGAGGAAAATGATTATAGAATAAAAATGATGGCGTGGAGGAGGCTGATAGAATGGAGTTGAAGAGAAGAACTGGGCTACGAAGAGAGCCTTCTGTCTTTTACAGTTGCCATGGACACCAAGAAAGCTGACTTACTGCTGTGTGAAGATTTTGTTTGAATGGAAAACACACACTCACACACACACACACACACACACACACACACACACACACACACACACACATACGCTTACCACAGATTTATTGCCATCATTACCATCATCACCTACTTGTCTTTCCACTCAAAAAACTCCCACCTCCTTATCTCTTCAAAGAGAGCCAAAGGGCATGCATTTTACATAAATAGCATGCAAACCACAATATCATGTTTTCTTTGGGGCTCTCCGTGAAAACAAGGGACATTGGCTTATGGTTAAAACGAGCCTGATGTGATCAGAGAAATTTAGACTGTCGGAACCCTCTTCCACTGCCTCTCACCTGCATCCAATAACGTGAGCTGCCCCACTACACTCTTCCGCCACCGCTGCAGACCAGGACTGCCCGTTCTCCATCACTGAGGCTGATATTTTCCAGTCATTCATGCGGATCAACCCACACAAGGCAGCCAGCAAGGACGTCCTAAAGGTCTGTGCCCACCAACTGGCGTGGGTATTCACAGAGATATTCAACTTGTTCCGTTCCCTCCGAACCGTCCCCGTCTGCTTCAAATCCTCCACCATCATCCCTATTCCCAAACAACCAAAGGTGGCCAGTCGGACTGGCACCCCATATAATGTATCCTCACAGAACAGCCCACCCCCATAGCATTATCCACATAACCAGCTCCCATATTTTGAGAGGCTGGTTGGATCCATCATCTCCCCCATGCTGCCCCCACCCATCACCCCCTACAAACACAGCACTTTGTGACTCGATACTAGACTCTGGGGAGAGTGGACAACTGCACGTCTTCATTGCTGACCCGATATGCCATAGGAATGACACAGGGCTGAGTCCTTAACCCCTTCCTGTATTCTGTCTCCACCCACGACTGCACGGAACACAGGCTACAAGCACCATTGTAAAGTTTGTGGATTACACAGCAGTTGTGGGGCTGATCTACGGTGACGAGACGACCTACAGGTATAGGAGGTGACTGTCCTGGAACAGTGGTACCAGGACAACCGCCTCTCCCTGAACGAACCTAAAACCACAGAGTTCATTGGGAAATTAGAGGAAATATATGTCATATTTTATGTATTTTTACATTTATTTAGTGTTTCTTTAGTGGGGCCTCCCAGCGAAGGTGTTTAACACAATTTTGTATGACAATAAACATCTTAAATCCTGTGCGGAGAAGAGTCTTTTAGGATGCCTGCTAGGCTCTCATTTTTACAAAGCACAATACGCCATTTGTGAGACAGCAGAGCAAAGAGATAAATGCACAAAGGCACAGCCATTAGTATAAATGTTTATCTTGGGAGATGACTGCTGGGCATTTTGTTAGTGGAACGAGCATTAGAATCACCAGCAGCATTCCCATTTATTTGTAATTTTCTCGTCTATAGTCCCTTATCTCTTTTTCCCTTTTGAAATTATCAGAAAATGTGGGACATTCTGAGGCCCAGTTATATTGATTAAAAGTATTTACATGAGGAAATTCTGTTTGTTCCCTTTATTTGCATCCTCTTTAAACTTTCTTTCTTTCAGTAATCTCATTAATGATTTCTATATCCATTACATCAAAGGATCATTACTGTATAGATGAGAGCCAAATATGTCTTTGTATGATGTCTCAGACTGCCTTGTTTCACTTATGGTGTGTTGGTGCGCACACTCGGGCTATTACTTTTTCCACTGAAGTGTGATTGTATGCACCCTGACATCACATAGAGTCCATGCGGTAATTGCTGGGCTTGTCGATCACTGAAATCAACTCGGTGAAGGAGTGTGCCTTCAGAGAAACTACATACTGATCGATTAAGTAAATGCATAATAGGAATGGCAGCACGACAATGTGCACTCTTTAAAATATTGACATTGATTGTCCCATGAGAAATATATGGAGCTGTTGATTATAATTATGCCCTGAGCAATCCAGAAACGATTAGGAACAAGCGCCTGCTCTTAATTTGTAATTAGTTCAGGGTATGGCAAGATAAATCATAACATGTCACTGCAGTTAACTGTGGTTGTCTTGGCAGGACCATGCCTGAAGAGTGTTGTGGAAATTTATCATATGGTTCTTTTAGTTATAACTTGTATCGCTTAAACCTGCATATACCACCCTAACCCTCTTCCCACGGAAAGGCTGGGAACCTGGCCTTGGTGGGTGCAGCGGCCAACAACATCTGTGAGGGGGAGGGTGAAGGGAGAGGAGACGAGATAACGCGCATATATACTCTGTTTTGTTTTTTTATTAGGGTTAGACCTCCGAACCATCCCTGTGGAAAGAGCTCTATCCATTCAGCTGAATTATGATTGAAGTGTCTGTTCATTAAATATGTTTTTAGTACTTTAAGAAGTTCCATCGTGATTATTTCTCACAGAGAGGTTAAAAATATTTTTTTTCCACCACAGAGAGATCACTGAAAAGATAATTTCTCTCAAATCATGTCATCCTCTGATTGGCCACGTGCAGGCACGTAAAACCACACCAGGTTCAACGTAGCTTTTGCTACAGGTTGTACCGCTCTCGAATGCATCTATCCCTCCCTCTAGTAAAATGATGCTCAACTTTACCTGAGCTCGCTACCGCTTGAGTAATAGGCGTAAAGACAACGGACCGCTTGGGGCAAAGATTCACTGTAGCGAGAGTCCGGCTCTGAAGCGCGCACACAGTCAGCACCCTGGACAGCGCGCGGCGCTGCAGTGGCGATGCGTGGATTCAACCGGTGGCTTTCAACCACAGCAGCAGTGTGAGCGGACCGTTTTCCTGACTGTTACATAAACTCTTTGTGTTCCACATCTAGAAAACGCTGCTGGCATTCTGGATCACTTGGAATAGTGTTTTTTCTTTTTTGCTCTTTCTAATACGAGCGACTCCATTGTGTGGGTAGGCGTGTCGCTGCCGGTTGCGTGGTTGGCTCCAGAAGCCGTGCTGAGTAACGTGGAATAGCGACTGTCGGGCGGACGGAGTGGTGTGCTGGTGGTGCCTACGAGACCCTTCATTTATAAGGATGCTGGTGGGAAATGCCTGGAGACAGAGATGACGAGATTTGTCAAAAGGCACTTGAACTCCTGTCAGATCTTTGCTCGAAGGGGGAAGTGCAGAACGAACACTGCCTGGATTTTATCTACTATTTCCGAGACCTTGCCAGGCCACGCTATACGGATTCAGGTGAGGCATCATTTGCACGCTTCATTCAAGGCTTGCATTTAATTGAACCGAAGTGAACGTGCATGTGTCTTCTTTCATTGGACGTTATGCGCCTAAAACTCAATGCGTGGTGAAGCTATTGGATAGAGTGCATTCACAACCAAGACCCTTTCTTTGGAAATTCGATCTTAACAATTATCCCTCACATTTCCAATCATCTCGTTCCATTTTTTTTTTTTGTGCAACAAAATACACTTGCGAGGCGACAGGCTCTCCTTTTCACTGGCAGAAAAATTTTAGGTCTATAATTTTCAGTTCTTATTTACAATCTACATTGGAAAAAGTCTGACATTTTACAAGATTCAAAATGTGTGGTATTACTCCAGTTCCTTTTTGACACATGTGCATGGATGCCAGCAGTGATATTGTGTAGTCGCAGAATTACACATCACAAAGGCAGTGACTGCACAAAGGCTATTATCCTCCCTGAATGAGTTGCACCTGCGCTCGCCGGTCGTGTCACACTAACTGTATCCTACCTTGCAATCCTCCTCATACTCCATTCATTGTGCTTCTATTAGTTTGCATTACCATCAATTATTCCTCAGCAAATGAAAGTCCATTGTGAATTCCCACTCCTTCCCTGTTTCTGTCCCTCTCAACACCCCTCTCCCTCAACCCTCCTCCTGATTTCCTCTATTCCTTAATCTCTCAGCTCTCTCCTCACTCCCTCATCCATCATATAGGCCCTATCTGTCTTGTCTTTTCCAGTTTAATTAAATAGTGGATTTTCTACAGCATGTGCTGTAGTGGAGTTAGCTATCAGTATGGCTTTCCAATGAGGTACAATTTGAGTTCCGGCTGACATGTGTTACCCAGCATGATGGCAGCACCCATACTAAAATTACGAATGTAGCAGATAGCAATAGAAAAAAAACTCCAAATACCTTTGAACCAGAGTTGAAGGTGGGCTGGATGGATTCAGTGTCTCTGTTAAGGGCTGCTTATGAACATTTGTGTGTGTTTTCACAAACATTCTGGACATTCAACAGAATCATGACCTGGCAACTTCAGGAACCCATACTGGTAAAAGTTAATGTAGCAGAAAGATAATCAGAGTCAGGAGCGGAGCGGATGGGTGTCTTCTGGGGATCCAGCCCAGAAGGTTTTTTCAAAAGCCCTGAATCTTTAAGGTTTGTAGGTTTTTGAAATACCTTCAACTTTTTGTTATTGCCCCTCAGTTTCTCTGACTGAATCTAATATAATTGAATAATTAATAACTCTGCCCTAATGGTCAGTTCAAAGTATTGATGAACAAATCTACTTGGCAATGTTGAGGATCCTTGATTTGCAATAACAGATGCCCAGATTATTAAGGAAAGATGGATTTATCACCTAAAAATCCATTTTGTGAACTACACTCCAGCACAGTATAACAAAAATAGGTTTCAAGATCATCAATGCTGTATATTCCAAATTCCCACTTTACTTATGTATGTTATGTAACTTAACATCACAGAATTTGCCTTATTTTTGGTTGCTGGAGTGACATTTGTTGTTTTATATTTTCAGAATGATGACAGCTGGAGAACAATTAGATACAACATACGGTGTAAATTCTACATGTTATTTCGTCCTTGGCAACTATCTTGTCTTTCCGAAAAGATGTAAAGATTTCTTGGCATTCTATTATCAAATGACTTGAAAAATAATGCATATAACCTTAAATGTGAGAAAACAAATCTAGGATGCTAGGTTTTGGCTGAGCCCTGAATGGAACATATACAGTGGAAAGATGAATCAATACAAACCATCCTTTTTTATGATCTAATGAATGTAACTTTAGGCCTATTATGCTTTAAAGGAAGGGTACGACATTTAGTGAGATGTGTTTATAAGCTCTATTACTGAGAGTTAGAGGATCAATACCACTCTCATATCAACGACTGGCCTGGCCTGGCTCTGTCCAGGTGTAAAAACAAAGTCGTGGTTTTACGGGGTTATTTCTTGTCCAGACTTCCTGAAATCTCTGCTGTTGCCCGGCAACCTCTCGGCGATGACAAGACTCCGGTAAGTCCCCGTTACTGGCTGTAAGAAGTAGTCGTCGGGACAACATCCCATGGTGTGTGGACTGCTGTTTTGAAGTCTCGAGTTCGGCATTTTGGCCAGACGCCATTTTGAATTTTGGCCGTCGCCATCTTGTTTTTTTGCAAAGAGGGAAAAGAAGGAACCATATTTGGACTGCAGAGGAGTGACGTAGAGACGCCGTGTACGGCTCTGGTAGCGGTAGCGGCCTGTCAATCAAAAGGTAGCAATGCCCTAAGCATACCCTGCTTTATCGTCTATTTTATTCTAAATGGGACCATCACTAAATAAACATAAGAAAAAAGACTTGAAACTAAGAAATGAGACCCTAAACTCATGTTCACATACTGAGGTAATAAATCAAGTAAGAAGTAGGGTCATTTTGTCAGAGACTTCCATACAATCTGACTTCTTTTGGCAACTAGATGAGTCACCCCCTAATGGCCAGAAGAGAGAATGCAAGTTTAAGGAATTTACACATTGGCTTCACTTGTCAGAACCTGAGGTTACCGCCTGGTTCCTGGACAAGATTTAGGCTGGGTTCATGTCATTTCAGAAATACCGCAATTACCAGTTTCTGAGTTATACATAGCAGTCATGTCAACATCTGCTGGGAAATTTGTCTTTTTCTGAAATATTCCAATATTCCCAAACAAACATGGACGCTTCACGTCAAAGTCTGCCTCTTCAAGCTAATTTAACCCAAATTTAATGAATATGTAATATTATCAGTCACTGTGCAGTTTTTTTTCATCCTCACAAATATACAACGATCTTGAGTTTTCGGGTGACATGAATGCTAAAGTCGACAACTGAAAATCGAGGGGACAATTAAGCAATTTCCAATAAATACAGTTTTTACTCTCAGAGATATGTTTAAGGGAAAAAACATCTCAGGAGGTAGAACTTCATATATTGTGTTTTCAGCACAATATATGCCTCCTACACTATTGCACCTTTGAAGGTCCTGTGCTCTAAAATTGGTCCGTCCTCTTTGTTGTGATGCAGTCTCTGAGTCCTTCCAGAGATTCTGACACGCGTCCCTCTGCAGGAGGCCTGCCAAGCTGACTGTGGGCTCAGTGTCCTCAGATGGCAAGTGCCTCAATTTCTCCACATTATTCTCCCAAATCACACATACTCTGGTATTGACAGGATCTCGAAGCACAGCAAGGACAGTTTGTCTGAGTTCCTGTGCGAGGTCTAATGACAGCGCCCACACACAGAACCAGTCCTATATTAGGCAGCGCTGTTGGATTTGGATAGGTTATATAAAACTATTATTGTCAGTCTTTTGAGATTTGCTGTGGCTCAAACTATAGAGCCTTTAAATGTAGTTTGTAGTTTGAAATAATATGCATGTTAATTGCCTAACAAAATATAAAAGCTAAGTAACAAAGTGTTACAGCATTCCTTTGTAAATGTTTTAGAATTAACTCTACATCAGATGTGTAGTAGAGCTTGCCAGGTGGGATTCAGTTCAAGCTGATTCCTGGTTGCAAGATGTTCTGTGATTTAGTTCATCTTAAAAACATATTATTATCTTGGTGAGAAATCCTCTCTCTGTCATATCAATCAAATGAAGTATCATCAAAGACTAAAACTAAAAACACCACTGAAATTGCATACAGCTCTGTAAGTGGAAGGAGATGGGCTTTTTAAAATGTATTTATTAATTGTGAATACTAAACAGAATAAATCAAACCAACAGATTATTTTAGTTAAAACTTCAATGGCATATTTTGATATCCAGGATTTTATATTGACATAGAGTGCAAACATTAGAAAAGGAGCGAAGACGAGAGGATTAAATGCAATGACTGTAAATAGACTGTATTTATATAGCTCCTTTCTGTTACCAGACAAAGAACTTTACAATTTGTCTCTCATTCACATACCGCTGATATCCATATACACTTTCTTTATAAAGTCAGCTAGACACAGAATAGATACACGGCAAATTAGTCAACTCAAATGAAAAACATTTACATTCTCTATTCTGACAATCATGAGAGGAACATTTACTTGGTATGATGCTCATTATATTTATTATTATTTTTATGCTTCTGTAGACCATATTGCATTTCTTTTAAAATCCTGGAGTTTTTTGCCCATTAAAGTGACACGCTGTGCTAAACAATTACTCAGGTTAGCTATACTCATTATTATCATTAAAGTAAATACATAGATTATACACAGTTTTTTTTATTACTGTAGGCAGTAATAGCTCATTAATAGCTCATTGCAGAGTCAGCACATAAACTGGTCACATGTCTGTATCACTGGCCTCACATACAACGAGACTTATAACCAATAATAGGCATGGTTGGTTAGGATTATACAGTAGACCGATGCTATTTAAAACAAACTGTGCAGGAGAACTGGACTTTCAATATTTCAATACAGTAAATGAAAGTAAACATCACATTAGCTATACAGGCACAGCAGTTCATCAGTGCACTATTGAACACATAATGGTAAGCAGAGACTTGTAGTGCACAAAACAAAGTGTCTCAATTATACTGAATCAATAACTAACATGCACTATGACAAAAGAGGTGGTCCAGTAGATGAACAATGCATAAACCAACACTGGATGGAGTTTTCTACTCATTGTAAATATGATGTCTTCATACAGCTTACTTACATACAGCTTTAAACTATCTTCTCCTATAATAGTTGCTGCTGGGAACCATTCACTCCTGGACAATCATATTAACATTACATTTAAAAATCATTAAATTATTTAAATTAAATTAGTTATTTATTAGGCTAATTTTAGATTTAGATTTGTTAGCATTATTTAGCATCATAGATAAATGCAATGTACATCCCCAACATAAATGATAAATACATTTGAACGTCAGCCTATTCATTTAGTATCATGGATAAATATAATGTAAACAACTTTGAGGGAGATGTTTTATCTTAATACAGTACTCACATACCCATATGAACATTGAAAGAGTTATTGGTCGCTGTAACTTGACATCTCCACCTTCCACTGAGACAGTGTTAAGAGGAAGGGGCCTTCCAGCTGACAGCAGTACGTTTTTTGCAGCAACAAATGCAAAGTTACAGAATGTTGTTTGATAGCTATCACACTAAATTTAGCAAGTAAAAAGAAATGTGCAGTGGGTATTAGATTTCCAAGCTTGATACAACAAGAAAAATATTTTGAAAAATTTGAAATAAGCCCAACAGTGAGCCATCTCTTTAATAACTAAATATATTTCTTTCCATATATATTTCTCCATGACCGTGCTGCAGCAATGATGGCTGAGGAGGTTGGCAGAGGGCTAAGCTAAACTATTAGCAACATTTTCTCTCAAATGTATGTATGTATATATATTAGTGCTGGGCAACGATTAAAATATTTAATTGCGATTAATCGCATGGATTTTTTGCGATTAATCGCGATTAATCTCATTGTTATGGCAAAGTTCAATAATGAATTCAAAAGTAGTGTATTGCGCACTTTTATTTTAAAAGTACTGCTATATGAACAAAAGGGCAATAACATTTGGTTCACGAGATGCAGGTAGCATGTTTTATACTTAATGTGAATATAATTCATACTTTGTTGGCATCTTATTCTGAAAACCGGATGTTCGTCTGAAGAAACCGGATGTTGTCTCACGTTAATCTTTCCGCTAACTTTCAAAGTCCTTCGCTCACTCCCGATCTGTGCCGTTTAAATGCGTTTACCGTGAATTTCAGCATGTAGGTGCACTAACATGTAAGTGTCTGCTGACTTTACCGCAGCGATGTCCAGTAGTCTCCAGGGAGAGCAACAGCTGGTGCAGCTTCTCTCTTTATTTCTGCCCCCACCCTCGACCAGAAGTGGAAGTCGCCTTTTCTCTACGGCAACCCTGAAGGGACATATCATCTCCAATACAAAACGATAAACATGAGACAGTCTGTTACAATAATAATAAATGAAAAATACTTACCTTTTTTTTTTTGTTGTTGTTTTTTAATTATTATTATAATTTTTTTTCCCATCTCAAAAGGCTCAAGGACATACACACACACACACACACACACACACACACACACACACAACTGACTATAGGATGTTTGCTGGCTTTTATCCCACTGTTCTTGTCATCATCTTGTTGTTATGTCTATGTATTGTCTCTTGTCTTTCAATAATAAAAAAAAAAATTATAATAAATTTAAAAAATGCATTAACGCGCGATAAAATAACATGAGGGAGACAAGACTAGTATAAAAGTAATAAATAGACATTTATTGAAAGTACCACTAACTAAACCTAACTAAATTAACAATCAAAACATGAAAACAGCCAGGTCCTCCAAACAGGAGGCAGGGAGGAGAGGCACGGAGAGGAGCCACAGCCAAAGAAGAGGGGCAGCCTTTATAGCTGGGACCAACCCAAAGCTCAGGTGTCGCCCATCAGTGGCCGATTATCATCCTGGAAGACAACTGAGGAGAAAACAGGACACAGACCCCTGGTGGAAGGGAGGGGTCGTCACAATATATATATGAAAAGTGGTAGCAGTCAAAGTCTATTCTGAATTCAAAGTTACAGGTCAGATATGCTACTGGTTTACACGACAGGAGTTTGGTGCCAGTATCTTACCAAAAACTAGCAATAAAACCTTAAGGCCTATATGCATGCCACTGAAAGTCACCGTGATTAAAATGCAAGCAGTAGAAAATCGATAAGCTTCGATCCACCAAATTGAAATGCATTGCTGTCGCCTTGAACTGCTTCTCACGAGACTTTGGCAAAAAGAATGCAGACTCTCACCAGCTGCTGCAGTCTGCTTTTGATCTCTGAGAGCCAGCTGGCATCTCAATGCTTAAGGAGCAACTGAATTATAATCTCCATGCTGTTTGGAAGCAGACAGAACAGATTATGTGATCCATATAACCTCTGTCTTCTTCCAAATGTAATGAGTGTACATAACGATTACTCGTTAGCATTGGTGTATATGTGCTGATCACATGGACAACACAACCTCACATACAGATACAACAAACTATCCGTATTCCTATAAACATGTATAAAAAAAACACTTAAATATCTAGATATTAGATATCTTCACTGCTCAAATTTTGTATTTCAGCAGCACTAACCACAATATTGTATTACGTCCAATACGCAACACTGAAGATGGAGATGACAGCTAACTAGACCTGTAAGAGAGTCGTTTGATTTATTTACCACGTGACATTTGTGTGTTTTTAGAAGCACAGTATTAGCCAGGAGTGGTGAAGGATGTTGTATAAGTGTATTCCTGAACTGAGATCTGCAAACTGACTGAAGTTCTCAAAAGTAAATTACCTACGCTGACTAAACCATCTCACCGCTGTTGGGTGTCTTGGGTGTTGCGTGGGTCGGAGATCTGAAACCTCTAAAGAGTGACTAATTCTCACTGTTTCAATGGACACTTGAGTATTGTGTAGACTTGAAAAGAAAATCTGGACCAATACATTAACACAAGGGAAAAAACAGGTGAAAGGCATTTCAAGATAAACAATGCAATGAAATTGCTGCGTATGGCAATAGATGTACTATTTGCTCTTGATGGCCAAATGCACCCGGCTGTTATTAAAGCTCATTAAGATTTAGAAGAATATTTGTACAGCACTTCATCACTTCACCTCATAAAAACTAAAGCATGCATAGGAGAACAGAGAGTGAGGGGGCACAGTACATAGAGTGTGTATGCCTTTGATAATCAAGTAGGTACAGTAGTCTGAAAAAGAACTGATGTTAGAAATGCATTACATCCTTATATTATTGTGACCTACATGCAGATCTAACCTCTACTGGTGTAGAGTATATTAATGATATGTGTAGTTCATGCAAAAAATTAGGCATCACTTCTGTTTAAAAAAAGAAAGAGTTTATGTTAGTGCACATAGATTGGACCTGAGTACTATTTAAATATTTTTAAAAAAGTAATTATTTCGGGAAAATCACACACTTTTTGAGAGCAGAGACGATTCAGAAAGCCCTTGAAGACTGTTGGTTTACACCTCACCTCCCTATTCCTGGTGACTCGCACACCCCGTGCTGGTGTAAACAAATGCACTGTAGGAATATTCATGCCATGCTTTGTCAGCATAAACTCTTACTTGACAGAGTGTGAAATGGTGTGATACTCCTGTAAAGCTTTTATACTCCCACAGGTACTGCTTCTGCTCTTGCCCACAGGTACATTGACATCCATTTATGTTGTGCATGATAGCTACCGTAGAATTTTTTGCTGGAACATGTCTGGTGCTACTACTACTGCAGAAGACTTGTTGGGTCTGGTTGGGTTTAATAACATGGCTAAACAATAACAACCATTTTTTACCAAACTGTTATCTTTATATCAACGTCTTCAGTCTTCATTTATTTACACAACAAAACAAAGTTGTAACCATAAACTTAAAATAAAGAGGTTTTAAGCTCAATACCTCCATTTGCATGTCCACTAAATCCCCAAATCCTCTTGAAGGCAGATATGAGGCTCCAGGGGATTATTAAATAAATGTAGTTAATTCTAATTAATCTTGCTGAGGATTCCTTGTCAAAATAAAGAAAAGAAGAGAGGAAAACCCCACAGAAACACCACTGTTATAGTAAGACAAAGATAAATAAATGTTTTGTTATGTAGTACAAAGAAGCAGAATTAGTCATAAAACATTTTTCTGATGCAAAGGGGGTCAAATTGTTTTGATTTTGGGCCACTTACAGAAAAGTACAAGGAGTAATGGGCCAAACAATAGTAAATGTGTAATTACACCAGTTAAACTGCTTAAAAAAAATACAATCAAAATAACTACGCAACACTACTAAACATTTGAACATTTGTTATTTTTTTTCATCTGCTGCTCTTAAATTTAATCTAAATTAAATCAATACTTTTAAACTGTAATACAGTGCATGGCCCACTTAACATATGATGTTATTAAAAAAGTCCGTAAAATGGTTAAGTTAAGAAAGGTAGAACAATGCCAAATTTTTTGTTTATGCCCTAAGATCACACTTAAAAGATTATAATGTAACTGTAAGTCTAATCTTAAGATATAAAAACAGAACCTCTAGAAATGGTGAACTATTGGTTTCTCTGCCAAGAGGTTAAGACCAAGATAATTTCACTATTTAGTCAACATCTGTTTAAACAAGGATGTGTAATGTGCATGCAGTGCCACTTATCAGAAATATACACAAGCGATATCTCCTTTCAAAAATCCCCACAAGCCATGAACTGTAAGGCCATAGTTTGACTACCTCAGTTATAATATGACCCCACCGGTTAGTAAGTAACCACCTTTACATATCAAATATCCAATGATAAAATATTTGTAAAAAGGTTTTCGCGCTACTTGATTTATCAAAATTGCTAATAATGGTGACGATGAAGGGGTAAAAGTGTAGCTTTGCAACAAAGCAGGAAGCAAACTGAATTCACTGTCAGATCGGTATTTCCTGTCTTTCTTGTTACCTTCTCAGATATATCGGTGAGTCTGTTGTCACTGGTAGTGACTGCCTGTGGCTTGGCTCTGTTTGGGGTCTCCTTGTTTGTCTCCTGGAAACTCTGCTGGATACCATGGAGGGAGAGTGGGCTCTCCCCGACCACCAAGGAGGCCCATGGGCACCTCAACCCTATAATGAGCCCTCTCCCCTCGCTGCTCGCATCCAGGCAGCCAGTTTACACAGCCGTGGACCCCCCACCGCACAACCGCCGTGAGTCATCACACTGCTCCATCGCCAGAGAGCCCACTCCTGTGGCATCTGTGGTGTCAGTGGAGGCTCCAGTAACTCCAGTATCACCACCACCTGTGGTCATGGCCACAACAGAGGCAGCTATGAAGATCAGTCACACATCTCCAGACATCCCACTTGACGCCCAGACTAAAAGCCGGGAAAATGGGGTTCACACCAACCCTCGTATGCAGAAACAGACCACTGAACACCCACCCTCTGGCCACCTAATATCTGAAATTGGGTCGGTATAAGATTTCTTATTACTTTTTGTTTTGTCTTAGTCAGAACTACTAGATTTTTTTTGAATGCCTACATGCCTTTTCTGATTCAATCCGTTGATGTTGTATGGTGATGTTTGTTGTTTTCCTCTGCTGACAGACAAGGGTCCATTCGCAGGCATATAAACCTGTCTAACCCAGACTTCAACGTGGCTCAGTTCCAAAGACAGGACTCTCTCACTGGAATGGGGCTGGGCCTTGGTCGCCTCAAACCTGAACTCTACAAACAGCGCTCCCTTGAGGGAGATGAAGTCAGTCGCAGAGGCGGGGGTTGTGGGCGCCTCCACTTTATCCTCAAATTTGACTGCGACCTGGAACAGTTAATAGTTAAGATCCACAAAGCAGAGGAACTCCCAGCCAAGGACTTTTCTGGCACCTCTGACCCTTATGTTAAGATCTACCTTCTCCCTGATCGTCAGACCAAGCACCAGACCAAGGTGCACCGCAAGACGCTAAATCCCGTGTTTGATGAGGTCTTCCTGTTTCCTGTGGCATACTCTGAGCTTCCTACACGTAAGCTGCACTTCAGTGTCTATGACTTTGACCGATTTTCACGCCATGATATTATTGGCCAAGTGGTTGTGGACAACTTCCTGGATCTGGCAGATTTCCCCAGGGAGACGAAACTCTGCCGGGACATCCAATGCGTCTCCTCGGTGAGTCAGCTCTTATGTTCAATATGATGTCATGCTCACTTAGATATGCCATGTTATATTTAACTTGTTATCATTATCAGAAAAGGCAAAAGGTGTTTTAAGAAGTCTGAACGATTTGCTGCAACTTTATTGAGAGCTACATATTTGGCTCAAATTTGAGTCCTTCATTTCAGCACACAGCTTGATATCACCAAATGGTGTAGTGATGACCTGCCAATTTCTTACGTAATTTCTTCATTATGCATGTTTTTCATGTCATTTTACGCCGCAGCAATATTAGACTCTCAGAGCAAGCCCTCCAGAAGTCAGGTGACCCAGTGTGAAGAGCAAGAAAGTCCACAGGGGGAGGAGGGCAGAGTGTATGGATAGGTCGCACAAACACACAAACACATGACTTTCAGGAGACCGCTGATCGTGTTCCATTTGAAATCAAAATTCAACCTTCGACTTATTTACATTGAGTACTTAACTGATGTACGTAATTTAATTTACGTATCAAAAATACTTATTTTAACCCAAACCATGATTTTTTCCTATATACCTAACAAAGTAGTTTTGTTTGAATTCACAACGTTAACCATTTGCTTAAAACTGCTACTGTGCGTCTGTATGTGACGAGTTAAGAGAACGGGGCATTAAATGACACACGAAAAGCTTGAAATGCGTAGACATGACACACGAAATATTCCTTGTAAGTGGCATGCTATTTATACACCTTACCATGAGATCACGCTGCTGCACAGTCTGTTTCTCACTGACAGTACAGTGTATCAAATAAAGTTGCCTGCCGTTGTAAACACACTGAGCTGTCAGCTCTGAATAAACGAGAGAAGAATTAGTTGGTAGATAAGGTTAATAGGTTTCACTTTGAAGAAAGAAGATTTCTATGTCTCTCGCTGCTGGTGAGATTAAGAGTCTTGTAGCATTGAGCAGAATATCTGTTCACACTGGACAAAGTCCTCCCCTGCACTATTTTACAGACAAGACACTACCAACAATCTCAAAAACCCAATATCTCAGGCATATGTACTGCTATATAATCATTTTTATACATTTGCTTCAGTGTCTTTCTAATCTTAAGAAATGTTGGAGAGCAGTAAATGAAAACAACGAATCTCTGCAAATGCAGAAATTCCCTTTATTAGAGATAGCTGATAACATCAGCCAGTTGATACAGATGAAGGACAGAGAGACATTTTCACGAGGAAACACATTTACTGTATCTTCTACCTATCTAAAATTCAGTACCCTCGGCTGGGACCGCACCTTTTTTAAATATATGTAAATTAAATCCAGGGCAAGACTGCCCTGCGGGATTCAAAGTCCCTTATCATGTTATTGACTGTGCAAGAGTGTGTGTGCGTGTGCGCTCTTGTACAATTATCTTTGTGAATACCAATTGGATATTTAGATAATGAAGAAGAAAAAGAAGTGAGGGCAGAGAGAGAGAGAGAGAGAGAGAGAGATTGTGTAACACCTGACTTGAGGATGAGGGTTTGAGGATTTGTCACTGTCCACAGAAGTCAGAGCTCAATGCTTTTGATTGTTTCCTGTTAAGACACCTTGAAGCCTTGTTGAAATATATCCTCCAAATCGATTGTGGAATGGACAATATGCTTCAATATTTTTGAGTATATGCTTTCAGTGATTGCTTCATTGACAGGCATCTCAGTGTGTGAGCTTATCCAGCTATAATTCACCATTGATCCCTTTCTTCATAGCATGCTTAAGTGGCATTGATAGGAGTCCTTGCTATTGATTGCTGCAGACAAGTCATTACATCCTAGGGAGGTCAGTAAAGCAAGATCAATGAGGTGCAGGTGTCGTGGTGGGTTAAAGTTCCATAGCTCCTGCCTTCGGTTATATCTGTAATGATACAATTGTATTGTTGCAATCTTGTAAACATGACGACACTGCTGAAATAGGTCCAACGAGGCAGCAATCACAGCCAGTCAGTGTATAAGCTGCAATAGACGTCAACAATGACAGTTTGGGTCATAGTTCACCTTTGTTATCTCTTCCAATTAAGTTTGACTAACGTGGGGTTTGTATACCTGTCTGACTGCAAGGGTTTCTTGTACTGTTGGATACGTTTTTAGCAATGTTAAAGCATTCAGAAATATCAGAAATCTTTTGGGAGTGCAATGTTTATAACCGTTATCATAATTGAAAAAAATTCAGCCCAGTAAAGAAAACCCAAGTGTTGTTTTTCTTTAAGAAAGTACTTTGATAAAAGCTGAACTGTAATGACAATTACCTGGGACAATTTAGCAAAACAGAGTCAATTCTACAAAGCAGCACGGGACCATGTGACTGAGCAGCTGTGTGTGTCTGTTTCTTGTGTATCTAATAAGCAAAACATCATTTACTTTTGCTGGTGTCAAGGTTTGTCTCTTGCTTCTCTGTTCCTCACTACAAATGCAACTGATCCAACTGTCAATCCAAACTAAATATAGGCAGAGTACTATGATGATATATCAGTAATTTAGCTGGATAAAGAAACCTGTTAAAAAATGTGTTTTTACTGCTGCGGTCACTCACATGAGTAAAGAGAGATGCATCATTTTATTTTCACATTCATTTTCATTCAGAATAACTGCTTCACCGTGTATTATTTTTGTGTATGAATCTTGACGCCAGATGGTAGTTTTGCTTTACAATGGCAGAAACACATCTGAAAGGCATCTGTTTCTGGTGAATTTGTGTAACAGCTTTATAACCATCTATAATTGCCTATCTGAGCATGTCTTCCATATCTTGTTCCCATATATGTTATTTATAATAAAAGAAAAATCAATGACATGCTGAAAACCTTTCACCAAATATAGAAATGTTACCAGTACTTGACATCAGACTCTTTCAGAATGGGAATGTGGCAAATATTCATGTTCAGGCAGCTACCTGACAAGAAGCAAAGTGATCCAGGAATGGTTTGTCAGGCAGTTAGTTATGAAGAACCAATCAAGTAGCAATAGTTTGAGCTGTTTTACAATGCCAGAAAGGTATTGGGAATGACAGTACATGATGTCAGTGTATGCATTTTTGTTTTTGATGATGATTCACTAACAGTTAATGAATTTGCTCCTTGAATTTCAGTAATCATTTCCATAATCACCATTGTGGTTTCTCTAGTTGTGAAAGTAAGCAGGAAGAAGAGCTACGGTAGTAGAGGGAGGAGACAAAAGCTTAGGCACAGAGGGATACATCAATAACACCATTCTTTCATTCTGATGGCAAGAATCCACGTCTCTCTTTCTCTCTCCCCCCCTCTCTCATATATATATATATATATATATATATATATATTAATATTTGTGCAACCAGTGAATGCTGAAAGCAAAGGCAGGTTACATGGATCAACAGTCTTTGCTTGACCACACTTACTACACTGAATTGTACATGTAGGCCATGTCGACACATTACAAGCCATACCGCCATCTTAACCACACTTGGCACATGCACAAAGTCAGCAGCTGTGTCCCACTTTCACAATGCATACAAAGTCTAACTGGGTTTTGAGTTCTTACTGCAACAAAAAAAAGTATATAAATAGTGGATTTTAATTTAGAAAAAAATACATTCATTTGAATTTGTGTGCTGTTGATGGACACTATGGCCTTATATTACAGTACATATAAGAAATAAAAGAGGCACCACTTAAGAGAGAGCTGCATGTAAATCCTAGAAGACAATATTTGGAAAAGGGTTCAAAATGTTGTTTTATTAGATGCAGCTGTTGTAGTTTGATTGCTGTTTATTGACACTCATCTTGTGTCATTTACTCAACTTAATTTACAGAGCTCACACAACATTGTTGACGAAGACAAGGAAGAATAAGATAATCATATGCTCATGACAATGTCATATCTGTACAAATGGATAAAGTACATATGTTTATTGTAAACTAACTAAAACTAAAACCAGTAAACTACAATACTATAGTGTTAATATGTAGTGTTACTGTGTAAATGGAGCATTATCAGCTTGAGGACCAGGAAAACATGTTTAGAGTACTCTGCCTCTGCTGTTGTACTCGGGTCACAATGTGTCTGCTACTCTCAGGCTTCAGACTCTAATGAACCCTATAAATTCACAGAGGCAAAGTACACCACCTTAACACCAGCTTGACAGATTCATAGACACATAGGGTCACAACGTGTCATGCAGACGTGGATGACTGCTTGGCCTTACCAGCACCCTCAGCACTGTGTAAGGAGCCATGCACAAATGCAATTTATCTGACCTCTCAAAAAGCAAAATACAGCAACAACACTCTCCTCACATCAAAGTGATGCCTACACTCTTTTATGGGCATGTCTGACTTGATTTGAATTCAATTCAATTTATTTTTGTATAGCCCAAAATCACAAATTACAAATTTGCCTCAGAGGGCTTTACAATATGTACACATTTGACATCCTCTTGTCCCAGGACCCTCACATCGGAACAGGAAAAACTCCCCCAAAAACCCCTTTAACGGGGAGAAAAGAGGAAGAAACCTTAGGGAGAGCAACAGAAGAGGGATCCCTCTCCCAGGATGGACAGAAGTGCAATAGATGTGATGTGTAGAACGTGAATGTTTAATAATTTTGAAAACGACAATGGCAATAAAAAACATAACCTTGTGTAATACAATGTATTACTATTAAATGTGGGAATGCATGTTCGAGAAGGATTGTCAGTTTACCCGTCATGTAAATGAAATGTGTTATACCACAGCCTTGTTGAATACTTGATTTTGATTGTAATAAAAGACCCACGTCAAGATACGTCTCAATTTAGGTCTCAGGCTGGGAAGTCTTAAACTCTTTTACTTTCTCTCCCTATTTCACGCCCTGGCTTTCTCTTTCCTACAATCAAACACACACAAACACACACACACTCACTCTCACAGATTACAGATAAAAACAAGTGCCATGTCAAGAAGAGAACATGAACACTGAGCAATGCTGAAACATCGTAGACAATAGCAGAAATAGCAAAGTGTGTGAGTGACAAAGAGAGAACATCAAATATAATGTTTTATCCTGACCTATTTTCATAATAAAGTTACAATCTAATCAAACTTTTTCAAACACTGCTAATTCCAAAGACATATATGTCAAATATGCATATTATCGCACTGTATCTTATACTATGCTTACCTATTTTCTTAAAATAGTTTTTCATGATTGTTTTTCACACAATGAAGTTGAATTAACCAAGATTAATAAGTGAACAATAATTACATTTTTGTCCTCTCCATTTCTACAGTTTATTAGGTAAATGATCAACCACAGTTAGCACATATTGTACTTTGGCTAATAAAGACCTGTCTATACTGTTCAGCTCAAGCAGAGTAAATTACAAAGTGTGTGTTACAAAGGCAAATTAAATAGCATAAAAAGGAACTATTTTACAAAGGTGAAGCTCGCTTGAAATAATCCACAAAAACGTTTCGCACTTGTTCCTTGTTTAGGATTTTTATAACAATTTGACACTAATTTCATACTTTCATCTCCCAATATATACAAAAAAATGAGAAGCCATGATTTAATCACAGTTAAGATAGCAGCTCTGATTAGCAATGTGACACCATATATTCTCAGTTCTCAGGTTTTATGTTCACATAGTAAACTCACTGAGCTTCCCTTTAAGAATGATTACAGTGAAAGTTAATAGTAGATGACACCTGATTCATAATACAAATGCCATCTCCCCAACAAACCAAAAGAGATTCTACTGGAGGAGGAGTTGTCTTCACCAGACATGTTTGTGTGCTTTCCTGGTTCTCACTTCTTTGGTGAAGTTATTTTAAGAGCAAGTGATAAGTGAGCTTCTGCCTTTCTGCAGCTGAACAGAAGTCTCCATGTCGGGTGAAATTGGGAGGCTTTTATTTGAGCAATGTGACAGAAGGGAGTAGAGAGAGAGAGAGAGAGATGTTTCAATTATGTAACCAGATGTCAGATGGCCACGCCATTATTCTTCACCTTCGACTAGTGCACAATGATGAAAAGCAGCAGTACTAGAAATAATGTCATTCACATAATTCAAAGAGTAAAGTTGCTTTTAAAAACAATAGATACTTGCATAACAAAAATGAGTAATAATAAAAAAGGAATACTATCACTATCAAAGAAAAGGCTGATGATAGAGTAAATGTGTTTTGTGTTGTCTTTCAGGATAATGTGGATCTCGGGGATCTGATGTTTTCGCTCTGTTACTTGCCCACTGCCGGCAGATTGACCATCACCATGATAAAGGCCCGCAATCTCAAGGCCATGGATATCACTGGTGCATCTGGTAATTAGAAGCTGTTATTGTCTATAACTACTGAGTCTCACTGGTATCCTGAATGAAAATGAATATCTTCCCGGTCTGCTTCTCTCACTTTTACAGATCCATATGTGAAGGTTTCACTAATGTGTGATGGTCGCAGACTGAAGAAGAGGAAGACATCGACAAAGAGGAACACTTTGAATCCCGTCTACAACGAGGCCATTGTCTTTGATGTCCCCCCAGAAAATATAGAGCAGATCAGCCTTTTGATTGCAGTGATGGACTACGACCGGTTAGGAACCTTTACAAGGCTTTATATAAGTCATACAGTAGTTTGCACCTCGTTTGCATGAGTCATTTTTAATTCATATGCTGCTGGACAAAAATATGAAACATTTCAATATGTGTGCATTGTAGGGTTTTTTGAACTCAGATTCTTTGTTTCTGTCACATAAATAGTTTGACTGTTTCAGTTTTCACACTCAAAATGTGGTGCATCATTATTTTTGGAACACATGGTGGGTTGTGATCACATGTTTGTCCTCTCTCTCCCTCCTGCACCTACAGCGTAGGCCATAATGAGGTCATTGGTGTGTGTCGAGTTGGCAATGATGCTGACAGCCTCGGTCGAGACCACTGGAGTGAAATGCTCACATGTCCCCGAAAACCTGTTGCTCACTGGCATCCAATTGTTGAGGTGAGGTGACTTTACTGTGATGGGTGTGACATGTGTTTCCATGCATACACTGGGACTGACCACATTACGAACATGAACACATTTTTGCTCACATACAACATCATTTGATACTTACACTGTCAAAACTGCTCTTACACATGTAGGTTTTAGCCCTCAGGCAGGAACACGCTGTTACCAAGCAGATATTAGAGCAAATTCTAACAATGAACGAATTAATTGAAGTTTGGTAGAAGGTTATGATCTGATATTAATAGACCATGAGAACTGTGTTCAATTCCATAATATTTTATTTTAATGTTTATTTTAATATTTTCTTAGCTGTTGGAGGCAGATTTTTGTTACGAATCAAAGTGAGATCGAAATGTAAATTTCCAAGAGACAATATTAAAAAAGCTTTATGTATCCATGTGGTATAATATACTGTATGCTGTCAACATGTTTGACATGATACAAGTTGACAGTGAAGGTAAAAGAAGATTACTTAAGGCAAACAGATGGAATACTGACATTTATGAAAAACAATCTATTATAAAAAATTAAGTTTGACAGCACAAAGGATTTTACAACAAGACCGGTGATAACTGCTGGATGAAAAACTGCAGCAAGTGTATATGAATAAGTGATTAAGCGTATCACGAGTCATGAAAGCACAGTGGTCTCATTAATATTCACTGATACAGTAGTGTGTTGTTACTATCATGCTGTGAGAAGATTTTTGATCAGCAGTCATGGGAACATCGAAGTAAAGTGTTTCAAAAAAAAGCAAAACCTTCCTTTAGGTAGAAACCATTTTCTATAGCCTAGTTGACATTATACTGTATATCTGATTTCATAATCTTATGTGAAGAGAAAGTGTTGCCCTGTACATATCTGGCTGATGGAGGAAACACCGGACATGTGGGGGTACATGTGGTTTCAGACGAAAGCCACTCAGCTCTCTGTGGGTAGTTCATATTTTTAATAAAAATAATGCAATTATCCAAATATCCACCCTTGAGGGAAAAAAATAACTTTCCGGGAAGTGCTAGAGTGGATGAGGGAGAGAGCTAAGGAGATTATATTCTTACAGCAGAGAAGAGGAAGTGTCGCTGAGAAGCTGATAGATGGTATCTCTGACCTGTGCTCTCAGCTTAGAAAATGGCTTTATTGTGTGTTTTGTGTGCACATCAAAGGTTTCCTTTTTGCAAAATACAAAGAGACAATGAGAGAAAACTGAAAATTGAGCTTTTTCTGTTTCTTTCGGGGCTATTAGAGTATGTAGTAGGCTACTTTGAAACCTACATTGAAGCTTCAAGAAACCCCATATTAATATTTACTTCCTCCCTATTCATCTCAGTCAAAGGGGTCGTCTTCACAAGCCCCTGATGCCCACACCACTCCCCAAAACTGTAAAGTAGTCCCAAAATAGCGATAGGTTTCAAATGCAAGCAGGTCTATTTACTAGTTTGTTTGCCAAGTAAGCCGCTGTAAAAGCTTTTATTTTTTTATTCCCAGTTGGTAAATGAAACAGGCACAGTAACACAGTCTAGTCCACAAAAATGTTGTGAATATATAAATAAACTGACTTCAGAAGAATCAAAAACCAAATGGGAATCATTCGTTGTTTCTTTTGCTGCCCAATTCATAACTATGTAGGTGGTTACTACATTTATTAGGTTTCAAGAGGAAGAGCTTAGATTTTGAATATTTGGCTCTGGTTTTATTTGATACGACTGTACATCTGTTTCTATGTCTGTGTGAGAGAGGATTTGTTTTTGCACATGCATGGCACAGCTCTAACTGTTGGTACATTGTTTGCGCTTGACTCTTCATTGCAGTACCAAGGGACTAGTAGCCAGGGAGGATCCTGTAATTCTCTGAAGACGCCTCCCTCTCCGTAGCCTTGAGCAACACTGCACATAAGAGCACCAACCTGACCTGAAGTCTTGGCTGTACCTTTGGACAATAGTGCTGCTGAGTGCTGCACACATATGGTCACAAAAGAAGAATGCATACATTGATAAAATACTGAAAAGAGAGACAAAAACTGTCTTGAGCTCCACTCAATATGATTGGTTGCATGTTGAATGACCACAAAGATGGATGTTTTCTTTTCTATAATGTTCCAAAAGAAAAATAACAGGCGTATGCAGACATTTTGAGTCTGTGCTATTCCTGGGTTTATACAGTAGTTACTGTTTTTTACATAGTATTGTTACTTATTTTAATGAGGTGAGTCTGTATTTGCACATTGTACTTACAACCAGTTGAACTGCCACACTGTTTATTCTTTTTTAAATTTGGTGATGAATTGGTGCATGAAGTCATGGTTTGGTGGGATATCTTCTCCTTGTTTGTTTCTATTTCTATTTTTGGGAATAGGATATGTCGTTCTGTCAGTTGATGTACAGTGACGGTTGATTTCTAGACGGTATCTGTAAGAAAATGATGTTCAATGTTATCAATAAATATCATTCCTCATAAAAAACAACCATCATTTATGTCTGACATATGTCTAATTTGTTTGTGGTTTATTTCTTCATTTAAGGAAATATAAGAACAAATATTGTCTGACTGTAGTTCTACATGGTGGACAACTAGGAAATCTGTGAGCATGTCCATTCCATTACTGTTTATAAATAAGTGTTATTGGACGTGCAGTCCATATAAATACAGCCATGTGGCAAGAGGCAAGAAAGGCTGTGAGCAGATTATGAATGCCTGTAGGCTCAGCACAGCCCAGAAATGAACTGTTGCCTAATTAGCAAATACTCTAAAGCAGTTTTGAAACACAGAACTTATCACAGAACACATTTGCAATGGATCCCTTGCAGTTTGCATTCAATTTATGTTTTGACTATTGACTTGAATGGAGCACTCAAATGTGTTGGTCCTTATTTGGCAAAATGTTGGTGAGCAGTAAACTGTCGGATTCACAAAGAACCGTCAGACACTGATGCTGTGTGTTATGGCCCTGTTTTTTTGTTTTTTTGTTTTTTTAACGCAAACAGGAAGTGATCTTTAATCTGTTATACCATGTTTTGGTAGCACTTTATAATAACTACACACTATGAAGCATTAGTTAAGTATGAGTAAACACTTAATTCATCATTTATAAAGCATTGTTCCTACATTAATAATTCATTAGTATGCAGTTCATAACAACAGTTATAAATGTTTTATTCTTGATTAATAAGCCAGTCTATTATGTGTTTCATTATTGTGTTTTCATACTTTATAATAATAGACAAGCTTATTAATCAAGAATAAAACATTTACAACTGTTGTTATGAACTGCATACTAATGAATTATTAATGTAGGAACAATGCTTTATAAATGATGAATTAAGTGTTTACTCATACTTAACTAATGCTTCATAGTGTGTAGTTATTATAAAGTGCTACCCATGTTTTTGTATTCAGGTGTCTGACTCACTTGGTGAGTGGGAAACGTTTTCCTTTTTAAAAAATTAAATTAGTCAGTTCCCCTCATACTCCATTCTGGTTCTATTAACTTAAATTGCTGACAGCAGCACTTCTCTCTCAAGTGCCTATTGTAATGTTACATCAGTTTCTGCTGTTCTGTTTGACTTGTGTGTTGGTGAGAGGTTAGCCCTGGCAGTGAGTCGAAGTTACAATAAAATGTTGTAACTGCGATAAAATGTCTACCATGATTACATGCACAGACTATATCCTCCAGGCTACATACATTGTAATGTATGCCGTTTTAGTGGAGAATTCAAAGCTGCAGTAAGCACAATCCTCAGATCAGTTGTATTTGCCTGAAGGAAGATAATTTAAAATACTTTAAGCCATTTGCCATTTACATTTCCTTTTCAGTAAAATTGTATAGCCAATATAGAGATAAATATATTTATCGTTTTCAAATTGTAATAAACATTTCGGTGTAATGTGTTGAATGTAGTTCAAACTAATTCTTGTCGGAATCAGGACAAGATTTTCCCCTTTCGTATATTACATTTGTGTTGCTTCATTAACATAGTAAGACTAACACTGTAAGACTATAAAAGTGTATTAAAATATGTATAAGATGTACGGAGAGGAATGTAACAAAGGGAATTTTGTTAAGAGAATTAAATGTAAACTGAAAATAGTTATTTTAAACGCAGTGGGTGACCTCACTTGAGATCAAACGAGGTTAGTGTAAGAGGTAGAAGTACATGATGATTATGATACATGATGGCAAGTTAGTAGCAGATAACGATTTATTTTATATGTTCAAAGCCAAGGTTCTGAGAGTATAATTTAATATACAGTATATCCCATATGTCATATCTAAATTAAGATGAAAGTGACAGGAGGACCAAAAGCAACAATGACTTGCTTTCACCCAGCACTTCATGTTACATAATATGTACCCTTTTGCAAAAGGAGCTGAAGCTGATAAACAGCTGAATGTTAAATGCATGTGCTAGCCTATTTCATCAAATTATTCATTTTTAATCTACTGTATGAATAAATACAATGTGCCACAACATGAAACTTCCAACATTTGAGAGGATTGCTTTGAGCTAAAGATAAATGGTACCGTGTGAACACTCCCTCTAATTAGCTGATGGGCTGCAGGTGTGACCAATGCCACGTCCCTAGTGGCTGCAGCACCTGCACTGGATAGTATACTCCCTCTATCACCTCCCCCAACCTGAGCTTGGGGATCCGCCTCCTGTGCTTTGTCTGCTCGGCTTTTCCCCCTGGTTTGCCACAATGCGTTACCTCGAGGAGGTTTTCCTGAAAGCTATGGATGGTTTGATGTTGTAGGGCTCCAGATGAATAATGCAGCTTTTCTTAATATGAGTGTGAAGGCTTTCCCATATTGCCTTCAGGGCAGATAGCATTCAGTTGCTGCCATCTGCTTAATACGCATGACCTTGTCTACCTACTCTGTTCCTGAATATACCTGTGTGTGTGTGTGTGTGTGTGTGTGTGTGTGTGTGTGTGTGTGTGTGTGTGTGCGTGTGTGTGTGTGTGTGAATCATGATGGAATATCATCTAAAAGAGAGAAAAGCAGAGGGTGGGTGTGGGTTGTCATCGCAGAGACAGAGGTGTGTGCGTTGCTTGTTAAGGTCTTGTTAGTGGGCGCTGTCTATGACACATTTTTAGTAGGCTGTACAACTGTGATCCAGCAAGGTGGATGGTAACATGGAAGGGAAGAGGCACTCTTCCCACAAATCATCTTACTTGGTGGTATAATTATCTGTCTGACATTTACTCTATGGCACAGAGACAAAGAGTATCACATTTGACAAGTTGTATGGCTTCTCACGTGCAACAACTGAACTGAATTCAATTAGGGTTGATGTCGCCGTTCCAATTCTCAATTTTTAAAACCCTCTTTTTTCACAAAAGAATGATATTGACTCATAACTCGAGGACTATGAAGCCATCTAAAAGGGCTTACCTGGCTGAGCCACTGATCTCTGCATATTGCACTAAATATCCAAAAGTATGTGATCAGCAAATAAGGATGAGTCAAATCAACCCTATGGGCAGCACAATGCCACTCCTAATCCACTACATCTGAAGACACTAGTGGAGAGGAACAGTATCTTATTACATGCTATAGTTCATAATATATTGTAATATATTTAAGTATTGTATTATATTAAGTAAAATCTAAGTTGACATGTTGCTTGCTGTAGCTTCATATTTACTCTACAGAGTGGTACTAACCTTTTCATCTCAACTCTCAGCAAGAGAACAAACAAGCGTACCATCCAGTTGTCAGTCTTACATTCCTTTTTATCCTTACTTGCGAATAAGACATTGCACAACAGCTGGGTTCTCACGATGTCTTTGACATCGCAGAACAATTGCGGGATCACATATCACACGAAAAACACATCTTCTCAAGCTTCATATGCTACACCCTCACAATGGTGTAAGACTTCAAGGTGCAGATTCACGTCCAAGCTACGACACACTCTGTAAGCTGCGCCAGGGCACAAGGCTCTTATGGTATACAACATACATATTTCTGAGCTTGCGTCTGGAGTAAAGCTGGTAATGTCAAAATTGAACCCACACTGTAAATGCAACCATGACTGCTTCTATAAATCCTGTGTATAGACCACAACAATCAGAGGATCACATGAATATATTATGAAGAAAAACAAAGACATTAAAGATTTTAATTGCCTTCCTGATTACATTATGCAGAATTCCAAAAGGAAAGCTAATGTTTGAAGTATCAGCCCTTTTCAAAACCTGTGATTATAGATAAGAGATACAACAAAATTAGATTTGGAGAGGTTCAATAACATTAACTGCAAATTACATCTGTAATAGAGATGACAATGTATCGCGATGGGCTGCATGCTCCTGCAGAGTGGCCTTTTCTACTAACTCTTTTACATTTTGATTTGGTTTGGAGTGTATTGTTATCCACACACTATTCAATGTTGTGTTGTGGTATGCTGTTCTAATTATGCTGATGTCTAATTACTTTTGTGAAATGGAGACTGTGGACACATTCAATATTTGAACTGGTTGATTTGGTTACATGATACAGTAACAGCTATGTATTCCAGTGTCTTACATTCACATACACTAAACTGAAGTCGTAAAACATCTCGGGCTCCTTCACAAATGTTACGTAAGTGCTACTTCACTTTAGAAGAACATTTCATTGCACTATATGGGATTGCTGAGCCTTTTTAGTGCCATGGTTTGCTTTCCATCTGCACATGTGGTCGATGGTTATTAGTGGTTGAACATGAACTTGACATGAACTAATGCTAAGTAGGCTACTGGAATGTCTGCTAGACTGTGTGCTAATAAAATATACAGTGAACTGAACTATGCATTAACATTCCATATTATTTATATATGCTCTGCACCGGGATCATCAACACATGGAAACGCAATTAGAATAGCATCAGTTTATTACAGTTTCTGAGCCTAATCTTTTTACTTAAAGGTACTGTGAGGAACATTTAACTGGTTATGAAACAGTCTCAATGTTATACTGATGCCTCTATATGACCTACATTGTAAACAAGACCATCTGAGTGAATGTTTGCTGTTTCTATATACAGTAGTTTTTCTTAATAATTGTCATTGGTGCCACCGGGTCGGACAAAATCATCTTCATGCTATAGAGACCAAGGTCTCCCAGTTGGTAAGTGTCACAATACACAGCAGGCCTACACTTACAGGACTTTAGTTATGCTGTCATTTTCTGCTTTTACACCAAGCTTACAATTGGCTAATTATTTAAAACATTGTATCCAAATGGCAGGGTACAAAAATGTTTCCTGGTCTATGTGACTCTATCTTCAGTCACATGACTTATATTTCTTTTTTTTCTCTCTGTCCTGTCTCTGGATTTGGATGGCGGTACTTGCTTTTGACCAGGGGAGTGACCCTTTACAAACCACAAGGCAGGACTCTGACCTCCTGGTATCTAACATCTGGGCTCTGGGGAGTCAAAGACTTGCAGGCACAGAAGTGTGAATGATAATAAAATAAGGCAGAATCCCACGGGAGTCCAGAAACTGGTGGTGGTGCGTGGTGAGGAAGGGAGTTGCTGCAATCCAATGATGCCGACTGGAGATGACGGGTGGAGGAGATTCGCATCCGATTTGAGCTGAAATGACAACTGACAGCAGCAGATAAGAGAACATTTATTTAAGTTTGACAGCAACGATGTGATTGGCTTAAGGAAACTGCAGAATCTGGTTGGTTAATTTAAAGTGATCGCCCACAATCAGCTGATAGAGTAAACACAGGGAGAGAGAGAGACTGAGCGATTATGAATGAAAAGGGAGAGTAAAGAGAGTCTTCCTGACTGAACTTCCGCTTAAGCTTCATTTAAATGAATGCACATTCTAAATAAAGATCTGACACTTAGCTAAAACCTGTATTCAATATCCAGAGAAGGGAAAAATAACAACAGCTGTGCTTGCAGGGTTGCAAATAATCAAGAACAGATATCAAACTATCCACGAACTGATCTCTATACATTTTAGATCTCTGTATGGAAATATGTTTTTTCTTGCCTAGTGATGCACCCTGTTGGCCATACTGTTTATAACAGAGCTCAGTTTATATATACCCAACACAGAAATGAGGCTAGATAAAAGTCAAGTCAATTTATATAGCCCAATATTCCACATATCAATAAATAGAAGGTTATGTGAAGGAGGTTGCTTCCTCAGTCAAACCAGTAGAGTAAATTACAAAAAAACTGTGTAATCTCAGTGGCAGTCGTGCAGTAACCGAACTTCCGCTTAAGTCGTGCAGTAACCCTCCAAAAGCAAATCGATGAACAAATACTGAAGTCATAACTGATTGATTCATGTTTTAAAATAACAAATGAATTAGCTGTATCTCTCCCATTGGTTTCACAATAAAATGGGTAGAAACAAATATGCATCCCTTTTAGTGTTGAAATAAAGTTTCTCCATAGAGATTTGTAAGGTATTACAACAAAGTAACCTTAAATCTAAATGTAATATCATGCTATTTCCAACCAGATTACATGCAGGCAGAAACACACATTTTTAGTTTGCAGAACTCGTGGACTTTTTTCCAGCTTTGGTACAATGCCATTTAAACCAACATGGACCAAAGCTAAATAAAATGCAGATTAACTTGTCTTTATACAAACTAATAATAATGACACATTACATTATTGGCTTTTATCGCTACAGATAAATGTTCCCTTCAGGTGACAGGTGATCTCCGTCCCAAGGAAAGCTTCACATCACTCTGTCACTGCCTTGTCCTCCTGATGCTGTCTCACAACTGAGTAACAATACAACTTGGTGCGACTCAGCTGCTGTTTTTTTCCAGCTTCACTGTGCATTGCTTGTCATTATGAAGTGTGTCCTCTGTCATCAACGTCAATCAAATACGAGTTACTGTGGTCCAATGTCCTGATGTGACCTCTGTGGCTCAAAACTGTTGGTTTTAAGCTAAACATATAGTAATCATCACTTGCACCATTTTCTTATTGTTTGCACTAACTGGTCAAAATTCATTCCCGAATGTAGCTTCTGTGGAGTGAAAGTGGATACAAATAAACAATGACCACTCAAAGAAACAAAGAAGTAATCTATCCTGAATATGAGCTTTGGCCTCATGTGGATAACAGCGCTGACAATGGGTATAGGCTCTGGTCACAAAATGAGAGGGGAGTTGAAACCCAAAAGCCACATTCAGGAGGTTATTTACTTGGAAGTTACTCAGATGTCAGGACAGCTGTTCTAGCCGTGCTGTAAACGGATCTAAGTGTTACAAGAAAGGGGAGTAGACTGCAACTCTCTGTGTTTCTGTTGAAGATCTCAAACTCTTGGTGATTTCACCAGCTAACGCTCTCTTCGTCACTCTTCTTCGTACCAGTGAATCAGGACCTCTTAGTGCTGCTTTAAAAGTTTGTTGCCATGGCGTCAAATGCCAGCCACATGTTGGAAGCTGCCTTGGAGCAAATGGATGACATTATTGCTGGTAAGATTTTCTGTTTCACTATCAGACCTTCAATAGACTGCCCAGTTTGTAAATTGCAGGCCTTCATAAAACCGGCTACACAAAAGAAAAAAAAAAAAATCGTAGGATTTTTAAATTGTCAAGGATAAGCTATACAAGCGAGAGCTAGAAAAGAGTTAGTAAAGCATTTGCTGAGGATGAGGGATTAGTTTGTTTCCATTGGAGAGGTTTGACTAAAGAAGAAGAAAGCAAGTTTTTGATACTTTTCTGTATTTTGTCTTCTGTGTATTCCTCTCTAAATTGAATGTGTTTGTATTTTTATTGCTTGTTCTTGGGCTTGTAAATCTCACTGTGCACTTGCCGTACAAGTTACTTCCCTTCTGTATTTTCTAGCAGAGGTGGTACATTTGAGTCAGAGCTGCTTGTCCCAACCTCAGCAGTGTGTTGGTGTTTTTGCACAGAGTCAGAAGACAACGTTCTATTAATAGAGGTGACAGTCCAACCATTAGCACACTTTAACGACAAAAATCACAGATGACTAAGAATCACACGCTGTCAACTGAAATTACCTGCGTTACAAAGCTATGCATTTGTCCATTTTGTGTCCTGTCTCCATTACTGTAACTTTGATTTGACTTCAGACAGCATATATGAAAAGTTATTTCTGCAACTTAGACATGATGATTACAGTAACCTTCAAGTTGAACCTCTAATTTGTGGACTTTAGAACCCACACTATACAGCTATTTGATGTTATTTGAATCCAGTGAGCTACATTGGAGCACAACAGCAACCTCAAGAGGCCATTTCAGAGACTGTCCTTACTTTACTGCATTCACCTATGAATCAGTTGTATACGCAGTACAGATACCCAAGAAATTAAGATGCTGTAATCACATTTTCTCAGTTACTTTTCCATTGATTTCCTGTTGTTCTTTCCTCTAGGCAAAATGGGTCAGGGGCTGTTCAGTGCTCTAATTCAGTTAGGTGGCCAGGACTGCAAATCATCAGAGTGTACCTCACAGTTGACCCCTGCCTCACTCAAGGACCCGGCCATCAGGGCTCTTCAGCTGACAGAGGCCCTCGGGGCAGTGCTGGAGGGGCAGGCGAGTGAGGAAGAACAGGACTCTCTCAGGAAACAAGTCTCCACTGATACAGCACACGTTATACTAAAATGGCTGGAGAGAGATGAGGTGAGTGCTGTTTCACTCACATCTAAAGGCCCTCAACACTTAAACATCGAATGACACTAGACCACAACACCATTATATAACACCCAGTGTGCAAATCCAACATCCAATCTGAAATATCCACATTCCAATTAAGGAGAAAGGGTAGAGAATTTTGCAAAGGCATATACTATACAGCCTGTATATTCTACTACAACATTGGTCCATGGGTTTTATTAGTTGTGTGATATGGTGGTCTTTGATCCTGGTCATTAACTTCTGGAGGGCTTTTTCATGTCTGCTAAGAAGTAGTGAGCTGGAAGCATGAGGATTTATTGCAAACTGCACCGGTAATGAGATCCAGAGCTCCTGTTTAAAGTACAGCGGTTGCTCCCCCTTTCAATCCCTTACTATCTTCATTCTTATACCCTGCAGTACTCCTCTCCCCCCTTGTCTGCAACAATTGTTTGATCTTCTGGTCCAGGCTACTTAAATTTGATATTGTCAACTTAACACTCACATTCCCTTTCAGTCTCCTCCATTGCCTCCTCCTCCCCTTCTGCTTCGACTTTGCTTTTTGCTCTGCACCACATCTGACGAGCATGTGCTGCAGAAAGTTTCCTCTCCCCTGTGCCCCTTTAGGAAGCCCCACGAAATTAACTCGACCGAGAGGTACTTCAGACGGAGCGAGACAGACGGACAGAGAGAGGTATGGGAGAAAGAAAGGGAGGACAGAAAAGATGAGAGGTCATGAGGTGCAGCAGAAATGCAGCAGAAATGCTGAAGCTGTTTGAGTGTGCCTACGAGAGAAAGAGGGAGAAAGCAAAAGGGGGAGTTAGAAAGAGGTAAAAAAAAAAGAGGAAGTACAGCCAACTGGCATAGTTTAAGTTATTCGCCTCAGCTCTGAAAGTCTCAGGCAGCCTGGACTCCAAACCACACGGACTAAGGTCCTCTCTGCTCTCTCTACAACTGCAATATGGAGGGTCTGTAGAAAGAGGAGAGTTGGATTAAGGAAGATCAAGAGCGCAGAACAGTTAAGAGCCATTATTTCGTCCCACTCTGGATTTTGGTATCTGTTTGTCTTCCTTGATGCTTTATAGCAGTTGCTCAATTTTATTGGTAACATTAAGAACCAGACCTACAGTACAATGGGCCTGCAGGATGGAGTGTGATATTGACTTCTACAAACATTTTGCCTGGCTTAGGAAGGTAAGACATTCTTGCATGTCTGTTCCTCATGTCTTTATTCTGAAAGTTTGCACAAAGGATCTTGGTTGTTAATTGTGGTCTTGCAGTGCAGTGTACAACATAATTATAGTTGCAGTGGTATCATATGATATTGGAGGAGGATGTGCCTAGATTGTGAGTTGAGGAGGTGTGCTGCAAAATATGCAACACATGCACTATTATATGCTAGCTCCTTCAGGACAAGAGAGATATAATGTAAGAAATGAAGCAGTTTACAATACCAGCTATTTATGTGAGTATATGGGTCACCATATGGATTGTTCAATGCACAACAAGTCTGCCAAACTGGTTATAAGGTTGAAGTGTTTGCGGTGAAAGATAAATGGATATGTGTGTCAGCTGAGATCATTTCCTTTGGACAGCACATACCATCTTGCTACCATTAAGAGGGCATTAGTCCTCACTGCCTCCATTAGGTTATAATTATTTTTGAATGTTAAATCCATAGAGGAAGCATTTTCATGCATGTACTTGTCAATCATTATTATGTACAATTTTGAGCTTTTGGCTCATGATGTATTGAAGTCATGTCAGCAATTACTTGATAATCTACACAGACAAAATAGTCAATTCCTTCCCCTAAACCACTAGTACGACTTATCTTTATAAATTATGAGGAAAAATAGAAATACCATTACTATGTAGTGCAGTGCAATGCAGTGGCCCTGTATTTATTTCTTCTTCATCTCAGTTCAATCTCATCAAAAACTCAAAACAAGTTGAGTCAAAGTAACACCTCTGCGACAGGGTCAAAAACTATTACAATTGTGAAGTTTCACGAAGGATCAGTGCTGCTTGTTTGACATTAACCTCACTGGATAGTAGGGCTTCAACGAAATACATTCTTAGTCGACTAACACTCTTACGATTTTGTCAACTTAGCGATAAGTTGATTTAGTCAACAGATCTGTAAAACTGTGAGAGTGTCTCTGCAAAGAATCCTGCAAAATACTTTAAATATTGTGTTTACCAGAGATGTGCTCATGCTTATCTTGGAAATAAGTAATTCAGCATGAAAAAAAGCATCTCAGTCGACTAAGACCTAAACAACCATTTAGTCAACTAATCGACCAGGAGGGGGCATCCCTACACGTTACTGTATTAGTTTAGTTCTGTACTATAGTCCAAGTTGTGAAGCACTTGTGTTGCCCAAGATCTTTGGAGTTATGTAGAGTATTTAAGAAGCTTGGATTTTACGCCTGCAGTTAGGTTGAGGAGCTGGATCTAGGTTTGGATTTTTTAAAAGTTGGCTGAAAAACAGATTAAAAATAAATAAATTAAGCACACAGGAAGCTGCTCACAATTCACAAAACTGCCAAATACTGAACAAAGAAAAATATCAAGGGGACAAGAGGAGATACTGTGCAGGATACAAATATAATTGATAAATAATAGTTCAGAAAAAAAACAAAAAAAACAATCAATTGCTTTTTCAGTCCACTAGATGGTGCTGAGTTGTTTTCTGGTGAGGTCAGCAAAGGTCCCGGGTCAGCGTGATTGGTAGGAAGTTGGTCAAAACAAAGATATCTGGCCTCACAACGGGGTTAAATCTGCAAACAGTAGCCAGGCTCATGGGGAGAGTGCAGCGCATAACTGTCTCTTTGCCCTTGACGTCCACGCATCGCAAGTTATACTGAGTTATATAACTCTTATATCCTACTTATATAAGTGATAGGTCATATACTGAGTCCACACGTTTGCATTTAGTTAAGTTGGACTATGTAGTAATACAAACAGTTCAGTTTGTCAGGTTCATGCAACATTTATGACATTGTTGGTCAGTCTGTCAGCTTGACAATCCTATTTTGCTGCAATAAAAATGATTGAAGTGAGATGAACAGACTGAAAACTTTATCTTATTAGATAAAACATGTTGACACAGTTTTCCTTTGGGGACATAATTTGAAGTTGAAAAAAGTAATAAATCGCAATATAGGCCTATGTTATCGCAATACTCAGAATATCGCAGTATCGTGATAATATCGTATCGTGACCCAAGTATCGTGATAATATCGTATCGCGGGACCTCTGGTGATTCCCACCCCTATTAAATATGTGAACCTGTGTTTACGTAATTATGTTTCCATCATACAATTTCACTCTTGCATTAACTTAAACTGTCAATAGTCAAAGTACCATTCCACAATTCAGAGTGAACAGTGAAGGTTTGAATCTGAGCACTGACTATAACAACCAGCTATTATCACAACACATATACACAAAATAAGCACAGAGAACTGCTCAAAAATCAAAAATATAAATCAACAAACATCGATGATACAATTACAAGCATACTACTTAAACAACAAACAATCACGTGGTGAGCAGAGTGTGTGTGTTTGTGTGTGTAGGAGGGTGAGGAGAGAGAAAAAGAGAGAGCAAGATGGCGGACGTAGTCACGTAAGTGATTGTGCCATGCAAGACTTAACGATGGCGGAGGAGAGAGGAAAGAGAGAGGGGGAGCAAGATGACGGACGTAGTGGTTACGTCACGCGAGACTTGACAATGGCGCTTGACAATGGCGCTTACCATGCCACGTGTGTATGAAAAAATGTGTGTGTGTGTGTGTACGTGTGTGTGTGAGAAATCACTCAAAACAAGGCAGATTCTCACCACAGAAGTAAAATACCTGCCCGACTGGCCCGACTCAGATTCGGCAGCCTCTGCGCTGGTCCTTTAACTAATATAGTACAGTTTACCAACTTTACTCGAGGAGGCTGATCTAAACACAACACTATTACAGCTGCGTGGAACAACACCACAGCAAGAAACACAACAGTTATGTTACACAGCATGTAAAATACTGAATAACACGTAAATAGTACAGTTGACTTAAAACAAAACAAACAAGGTTACAAACACACTATGACCGATCTCTACCCAGACAAAAGACTCTTACTTGAGATTGCTTTATAGTGGTGGGTGTGTTTCTTTGGACTTGTTGGCCATGCTGTGGAGGCGGGTTCAACAGCAAGCTGGTTCTGGTCTGGCGGCGAAAACAACGAATGTTGACTTGAAGAATCCGGGAATTCCGTGATCTTCCCTCTGTCGGTTAAAGTGGCGGAGCACGGGGCAAGTTATCCGTTTCTCTTTCAGGGTCCAATAACTGTCTGTTGTTTGGCTAGAGAAGTTAGGACTATTACTTAGTCTATTCACCTCATTTTAGCAACGTGAGTCGCATTGACGGCGCATAGTGAAGGTATGGGCTGATGTTTATAGTCTCATTGACGTCATGGCAGTGTCACAGGGACTCCCTGTGGTTCCTGTGGGGCTCATCCAATGATGCACCAGTGTGTTGGTTTAAACCAAATACTCACACTTTGGGCCTGGCACCCTTTAAACCGGTTCTGGCTTTTATTTTAACATGTAGGCCTCTGTCTTTTTTCCACCCACATGGTGAAGTCATGACAACACTTAAAGTATGCATACTGCAAGTATACTGCTAAAACACATGTATTCAGTTTTCTGATGTAAAGAGTATACTGTATTAAAAGCTTAATGGTATTTTTAAATGATTTCAGACCACTTGCTGGCTCATGATGATGGATGCTGGTCTACTAATGTTTCCATGGTTGTGGTTGAAAGCCTGGATTTTGGAGAAATTTGAGCCCATTTGGTTGCACTTTGCTTCCCTTGCACTGATGGCTCTGAAATATCCCTGATTGCATAGGCAGTTCTGAGCTCAGCCTTCATCCAACATTTTTTTTTTACCACTGATCAGCCGGTATAAAATGTTGGACACAATGTTAAATGCTGGATTAGGAACTGTAAACCTCTTACAGACTTTTCCACACATGATCCATTGACACAACAATGTTTGAGACTGAGAGGTATGTGTGTACGTGCATCTCTGTGTACATGTCTGAGACTGCAACCTCATTTAAGAAAAACAAATCCAACTGTTCTATATTAACAGTGTACTTACTGAACTTAATAGCTGATTGTTATTCTCAAGGTAAACCTACATTCATCTGGCGATAGTGAGTCCTACCAGGAGCGGTTATCACGTCTGGAGGGAGACAAAGAGTCACTAATTCTTCAGGTGAGATGTATCACTCCTAACGTTCAAAATACAAAACAATACAATATCTGTCTGTGTTTTTTATATGTATTTTAAAACTTTAACCTAAAACATGTCAGGACATTTGTTTATAAAGGTGAATCAATTCCATTGTGTGTGAGCCTGCTCAAATAAAAGAGGACCTATGACTCCACACTGTCAGTGGAAACTGATTTTTAACAGTGCACATATCACATAGCGGTGTTACAGGAGAGGGACAAGGAAAGAAAGGGCAAAGGTAGATCAGAGTATTATGTTGTAAATGTTGCGTAATTGCTGTATCTCTTTTGGATATGTGAAGCAACAGTTATAAAGCTGGGGTTGGTGCTCTTGCGACACTAGAATATCTTGTTTTGTGTGATGTTTTTGTCTGCATATGTGTGTGTAGTTATGAGGACTGCTGAACAAGTGCTATTCTCAGACAGGTTGAGGCTAGCATCACCATGTGCTGTAGCGTGCAGGTTTGTGTGAGAGCAGGTGCCCTGTTTGTTTGTTTGGCCTCACATACAACATTCCTTTGGAAAAGCTGCTCCACTTGGCTGGTCCGACCGGCCTTTTAGCATGGGATCAGCTATCGTGTGGCCTCTGCAGATTTACATTTAACATGTGTTCTGCTGACATGTTTGCACTGTTTGAATGAAAATAGCTGATATCAATATTTTACTGTAAGAAACTGCAGTAAAAGAGAAAATCTGAGGCCTCAAGAATATTGCTAGGCCTGGGCTGCAATTATGTGATCATAAGGTGAACCTAAATGATTGCAAAACTGTTTTATGGTAAAGTTTTGGTGAAAAGAAAGTTAATTCATCTCTACTTACTTGCTTTCCAAACACACAAATACACACAGGTGAGTCTGCTGACAGACCAGGTGGAAGCTCAGTGGGCCAAGATCAGCGATCTACAGAGTTCTCTGGTGGAGCATCAGCACAAACTCAACTCCACAGAGGAGATGCTACAGCAGGTACATGGACAAGATCTTGTGTAAAAACATCTTCCCCTGGACTTTCTAAATACCAAATGTTTGATGTATTACTTGACTAAAATGAGGAAAGTCTAACTTCCATCAGGAGACATCCTGGGATTTTATATCAATATTGTTCCTACATTTAATGAGATGTGACAGGGTCCGGGACTGTCCATCTATATTTTAAATATGACTCTTCCGCAGATCCAATCTTTTCTCATAAGCTGTAGAATGTAACTCAGGATGAGTTTGGCTTCCTGGAACAAATTCCTTGCTCGGATTCTAGTGTATCTGCTGCAGATTACCTTGACAACCAAAATATTTAGGACGCTCAGACTCATTCCACTGCCGTGTCTCAGAGTGCTTTTCTAGTTTATGCAGGGCCAGACTAGTCCATCTGGGCAGGTGATTACAGCACCATTAGCCACACCCCCAACCTGTAGCCAGCAAGACCTTCCCTACTCTCACACAGAGAGAGAGAGAGAGAGAGAGAGAGAGAGAGAGAGAGAGAGAGAGAGGGGAAAGGAGGGAGGGAAAACAGCTTAAAAAGTTGGAGAGATGGGAGGGAGAAATAATAGGGGTGGTGCTCCTTTAAGAGTTAAAAGTGTGTGAGTGTGTGCTTGTGTGCAACTGTCAGTTGTTTGCATTTGACCTGAAACCTACTACAGAGACGTTACTAAACACTCCGAGGGACACTGAATTGAATGGATGTATGAAACTTTAATCTACTGAAACTACAAGGCACTTGAAACTATTGCATCAATGAAGGAAATACACTTACTCTTCCTTTGCTACAGGCGGACACTGGAGTAAGATGAACCAGGTATTACAATGACTCAGTTTATCTCACTCTTATAATACTGTTTTTGTAAAATTTTCATTCAAAGTAGATCATTTCAACATATTCTGAACAATTTTATGAGGGCCAGGAATGTGTCTATTAACTATCTGATGAGTTGTGAACCAATGCTCAATGTCTACTTCTCGGTTCAGTGCTGTATATGTGCAGTGTATCAAAGGGCAGCTAGGGTTGGTTTCTTGGAAACATAGTCATTATGAGGGTTTGGAAATGAGCCGTAAATCTCTTTCTGGTGACAAAGCTCAAATATTTTCCTTTCCATGGGTACACTCTAGAAGAAGCCCAGATATTTTCCAAAGCCAGAGTTTTAAATGGATGTATCCATAAGTAGCGTTTGCCTGCCTCTGATGCTCATTTCTGGACTCTAAGTGATTTAACACCTGCTTGACATCAACCAAATTAGTAATACATCTGCCTGCATAGCCTGGCTTAACTCTCAAGGCTGACACTCATTTAGGACAGATAGTCACAGAACTGTATAGCAGACTCTCCCTCAGCACCAGGTTTGACTGGCAGCAGTTCACAGGGACAGGAAAATGCACCTGTCAAAGCTATTTTAATGTTCTTTCTATGAATGTTTTGCATGCTTTTGGTATCTTTCTCTCTCACTCTCTCCCCCTCTGCTCTGTACTTTGAGTGAGCTGTGAAATAGGCATTATAAATAGTGGTCATGGGTTGTGTATATTTAGCCACTCAAACAGCGTCTGAAACCAGTGGGTTTGTCTGAGGGGTCTGTCATTTCAGATCTGGAAGCGTGCTTCATACTTAATGTTGCCTTTGTTCAGTAAGTACTGAGCGTTGTGTATCATTGAAGTGATTATGTATTAATGTATGTATCTGTATATATATATATGTCTGTTTGTGTTGCCTCATGCTCTTGCTGCATGTTGTTGACGACAGGAGCTCCTGCACAGGACGTCACTGGAGAACCAGAAGCTGACTCTTTTGGGGGAGGTGTCCTACCTGAAACTAAAGCTGGCAGACATGGAGGGAAAGCAGGGCCATGGGGCTGAAAGGCAACACAAAGCAGAGGTAGGGCTTTTCACAGAGTCAAGTATGCCTATTCCTTGTGATATTTTGTTTTTAATATACAGTACAGTACAGTACAGTACAGTCTGTAGGTATTTAGTAGCAAAGTTTCCACGATAAATAATTTCATTCTTATGAACATCTTGCAATTAAACTTCATATTCTTTACTATGTAAATGTGAATGCTCATATCCAAATGACCTTACAGTTTGTTTAATTGAGGACTGTTTGAAAAGAGGAATTAGTGAAGCTAAGATCTCCCAGGAACTTCTGTTTTACTTCAGTCTTTGGAAATTTGAGCCTAACTCTGCCAGGAATGGAGAGGGTACACACAAAAATATGCCTTGTGTTCTGATGGATTGAACCTTAAAGTCAGCGGCTGATTTTATGGAAGATCATAAACACTTTCTGGACAGATGGAAGGGAATATTCACCCAAAACCTGGCTCTGTTGTTGCTGGGCAAAGTCCACAGGAAAAAAGGGGTTACATTTTTTGTCGGTTTAAACTGAATCATGTATTTGCTTTAGACCGATGTGTTAAGTTACCAGCAGACATCCTGAGCATTTAGTGACCATATGAACTGGAGAAAATGGAAGCAGGAAAAGCAGCGCTACTACCAGACAGGATACTGTATGTAGTTACTTTCAAAACACTGATGCTCAAAGAGCTTTTGTGTCTCCATGTTAAAAGAGTTCCTGCATAGCAGAGCTGGCATGATGGATGGCTGGCCAAATATGAGTGGGTGTAGGCTTTAGTGTTGGTGGAGGGTAATGGTTGACTTGGCCATCCTGAAAGTAAAGAAACTGGCAGCATGTTCCCAAAAACATTTGACATAATTGAAGTGTATGAAAAAAAATCTTTATTTAATTATGCTTGAGCATTTATAGGGATTTGATTTGTATTTCTAAGCAGAAAATAACAGCATACTGTAGATGTGATTGAGGACATTGGAGTCGACTTAGTAGACTGCTTTCATCACGTGCACAAACTCAGCTTTACCTACAACAGCTGTTTGGACTTAAGGAGAATAGGAAAGAAATCTGCTTTGAACACTTCCCACGTGCTGCCTCTACTACACAAACATATCCACACATATGCATGTTCGTACCATTTGCTAGAACACAAGTGCACAACATGTGGAAGCCTCCTTGCAGTGGAGCCAGTAAGCTCACAGTTAAATTTAGCCATGCAGGCTGTCCATATCATCTGTCATATCCGCTCTACCGGACCCCAAGTGAGACTTCCTCTGTCCACAGTCCAGGCATAGCTTGGCCGCTGTTTACACTCTTTCAGAACGAACATGGGCACGGAAGACCTCTAAAAGATGGCAAACCCACGCACCGTCTTGTAATTTATCAATGCACACTACCCATTTGATAACCTGGATATGTTGGAATATGGCACAGCATTATGCATAACAATAATACAAGTATATAGCAGAAAGTTGTGGTTCATGAACAGATACAAAATAATATGTGTTCATCTAGACCAGATGAGTCTAACTAGGCCAGTAGACACAATGGGACAGTTAGTTTATGGAGAACAGCCAAAGATTTGTGTTTCCAATACTAGCTCACTAGCATATTTATGCATTCAGGCTCAAAACCAAATCCAGACTTTCTCAGGATTGTATCCACAAACAAGCATAGACATATACACCGACTCTGTAGTATTTCCTCTACTCTCTCTTAACATGTCTCTCAATTCTTTCCCCCCACTGCATCTGTCAGACTGTCGTGAATTTCATTAGTGAGCTGCAGGAGCAGATGTGTAGGTTTCAGAAGGAGATCAATAGCAAGATCCAGGAGAAAAAGGCTTTGGAGTTGGAGAGCCCAGCTGACAGCAGCTCTCCGGTGGTGCGCCCCACTGAGTCCACTAAGGGCGAGGGCTCAAACCCCTGGCCGTCCTGTGACAGAACCTCAGAGGAGGTTCCAGAAGGGCCTGATGGGAACGCACACAGCCTGGAAGAGGGTAGCTCAGATGCAAATCAGCAGGATGACTGTGGAGAAGAAAGTGTAGGCACAGCCTGCCTGCATGACTTCTAATATTGTGTGGAGCATGGCTTGTCTCACTTTAGTGTGTGTTCATAGCTTCAGATGCAAATGAAGGAAGGACTCACTAAATATCCCCAGCAGCGCCAAATGTCACTTTGTAACTTGTTTGATCTGTTTGGAAAAACAGTTATGCATCAGTGTGTGACACTAATAGGTACATTTCATGTACAATTTAATATTGTGTGTTATGAAAGACAATGTGCAGATGTATAACATCACCTGAATTTAAACTAGCTAAATGTTCTCAAACATTCTGTTTTAGGGCTTAATTAAAGAGCTCAGGATTCTCAAGGACAAAGTGGAGCACCTGGAGGACCAAAAGTTACAGTACGAGGAAAAACTCAAAGCAACAAAGGTAAAAGAGAGTTCGGATTTAGATATCTGATACATCAGTGCCCACATTCCACTGCTAACTCTCAACTCAACTTTCCTAAATGTTGTCCAATCCAATGTTCCAGCCAGTTAAGTGAGTCATTCGGTTTTGCACGGACACCTATGTTTTCTTAAGAAGTCTATTTTACCTTCTATTTTAAAGCCCTGTAGAAATAGATTTAATGATGGCTTAGTCCATTTTTTAATGCCCCATTTGCATGATCACATGGCATTAACCTCTTAGACTTTTGTGAGCATATTTTTTTGTCACTTTTTGACTTATTTTATGATAAAATCACACATCTGTTTTTTCCTTTTGGTACAATATCTGTCCCCAGTCTGTGTATTAGGATACATTTCATTGTGATGCTCTACCTGCTCACTCAAATATGAGTTCGATTTTACTACTTCATTCATAATTCATCCAAGTGTTGCCTGATCGACCTATAGTCACAACATTTTCATAATTTTTAAAGGTTGGACGTATCCACATACCTCAATCATTTTTTAAGTTGTCTAAGGAGGACTGCCTGGTTTGATGCGCTGTGTATCTGTGCATCTGCATTTCTTTCTTTTTTTGTTTTTAAATTTTAATCAAATATCCTGGCATCCCTCCATCAACTGGATGTTTACCAAGATTTGCAAAATGAGTAAATAATACATTTTACAGAATGTGTTATTCTCAGTCCGGAGCTTCGGTTACTGATAGCAGACTGTTATTTTTTTAATCCAACTGGAAACAATCCTGATGCACCCTAGCATATTGGCTATTGGTATGAGATTATGTATTGTACTCGTTTTAAAGAAATAAAAGAGGGTTATGATTTGGTATATGAAGCAAAAAGTGTATTTTCCACCTTTCACTTTCCTCTACGCAACACACAGACAGAACACACTGGCAAATACTTCAGGATGAACTCCAGATAGTAGTGGCCTAATATTAGGCTCTCTGAAATTCAGAGATTAAACATTTCATTGCTTTCTTGTCGGTGCTTGGTGAAAGAGGACTATATTTTACAACATTGGAGTTTCAATTGGGGAATTAAAAACAGGCACTAAGATGTATGTAAATGTTTTGCTTTTTTAAACTAGCTTTTAGCTGTCCGTGTTGAAACAGATGTGTTGGCACATATAGTGCACAGAAAGACATGTCATTTCTGCTAAGATTCCTCAATCTGTGACACTCACAGGCAGAGATCATCAGCCTTCAGCAGCTTCTGCTCAGTAAGAACGCGGAGATCGAGAGCTTGCACACACAGCTGCTGGCCAGACCTTCTCAATCCCCAGAGAGCCCGGAAAGAGGTAAGCAAAGCACCCGGCCTCAAGCCCTCGACCAACCTGCCAACCACAGCCTCTCACTGTCACAGCATTAGCCAGCCTGATAGGTGACATAGTTAATGACTCCTTTTTGCATTCATTAACTTGCAGTAACAACAGTTGGAAAAGTCTGTCTTAGCGTTTAATAATCTGTCTCATCACGGGTCTCTGTCTCTCTCTCTCAGAGGAGATGTACAGGAAGAGGCTAAACACCAAACGTAAGCCTGAACAGTGCTTAATGAAAATCATTTTAAACCCACGGGCCATGTCTATCTTTGATCTTTTATCTATTTCCTTTCTCCAGACATGTCTTATTTCATTATCGTTTGTTTCCTTCTGCTCAGGGGGGCACCTTTGACAATCACAAACTCGTTTCCAAAATTGATGCACTATCTCTCTTCCCTTTGGCCTTTTCATTGTCTTTATGGATTCCTGAGAGCATACAGTCTTGTTTGTTCTTAATTGTAATAGATAGACACATCTCTGGGTACTTGCTTAGTATAATCACTGTCATTCACCAGTAATACTGCCTGTGTGCCTGTAGTAGTTACATAGGAAGTGTCTATGGACTGTGCGCCCAAATATGTAAGAGCTGACATGGCTCAAGCTATGATTGGTAGATTAAAAACAGGCTTGTATCTAAAAATACATGGATGGCACTCTGGTGAGGAATAAATCTACAACATCCTAGAATGTATTTTTGCTTTTCCTTTCTTTCTAAATAGCTATATGCCACAATATGTCTACAGAAAATACTAATGTATATGACATGAGCAGCTGCCTGTACAGATTAATAATAATCAGTGTGGGGTTTCTTTTTAAACATTTAGATCAGGAGCTGCAGAGGCTTAGGAGTGGAATGAAATCACTGGTAGCTGCCAATGATGAAAAGGTAAGTTATTACCACTGATATGGAAACCTATCCTTTCTCTTTCTGGTCAACAGCTGTAAGTGATTATGTAGTATAGAGCAGTGTGTGTGTTGTCATCCATTTACTACAGTGTAAAAAGTCTTACTGGCCTGTATATAGAAGTGCTATCATCACGCAGTTTAATAAAAGGTTAGATGGTAACTGTTTGTCATTTCTCAAAGGCGCCGCCCTCCATCCATTTATAGTACAGAGGGGCTTTTGTATTCTCCCTCCCAGAGAATCTTGGACTCCTTAAAGATTCACAGACGAGGGCCTACATGTGGCACACTACTGAGGACACACACGTACACACACCCCAAGGCGAGCCATTTCAGGCAAAGCCACACTTAAGTAGGCCTCGATCTGCCAAGCCTAATTTTGGAGTGAGCTGCATTAAGAGAACCATGACAAAACCAGACATGGGCACCACTTCAAAAAACACAAACTGCACGCAGCTGGTTACCACAACTAAGATTTCCAGCCAGTCAATCCCCTCCCTATCCACTACTTTGACGTAAAGGCCATATGCTGAAATAGGGACGTTTGTGTGGCCATATATGTGTTTCCTAACCTTAGATAAACATCTTAAATGGGTTTCCTCTCTGTTTTCTTCAGGACCGACGAATTGAAGAGCTCACTTTGCTCCTGAATCAGTGCAAGCAATTCAGAGAGGTCACTCACACAGCAAGGCAAGGTAATCAGCTTGTTCACTCCTTTACTCTTCCTTTGTGGCGTTTGTATTTTGTTAGCATCCACGTCGGAGCCTAATGAAAGCCATCACTCTTGCCTCCTAAAAGGGAACATATGCCACCACCTGCGTTTGAGAGAAACATTTCTTTTCTTTGTTACTGTAGCTCCACCTGCTGTCCGTTCATTGTCAAATGGCAGGACTCCGTCGAGCAGCAGTGAGGAAGAAGAGAATGTGCTGATGAAGAATATTGACTCTGCCAGTGCAAAATCTGTGGATGTAAAGTCTGAAGTGGGTATAAACTATTACAGCTACTAGTTAAAGTATTTTGTTCACATGAACATGGTTTTGAATTATTTATGATTTTTACCCATCACAGGTTTCCACAAGCAGCTCTTCCTCCCAACAAACATCTATTTCATCAGCCCAAAGGGACAGCGATTACAGGTAGCGAGGCAGCTTTTCCTCAGTGGACGACTCTCCAATATCTCTTAGTTGTATTTTACTCAGATCATTGTGTTTCTATCTACTCAGAACAGAACCGCAGACTTTATCAAGCAGCATGAATGACCTAACAAAAGGACCTTTACAAAAGGTATTTTGTAATCATCATACAAATGTCATATGCCAGTCATTTGTCAATTTTCTTTTAAAGCATGTAATCAACCCTCGTGCTTCTAATCCTTGATTTTTCTACATTATATATAAGCTACTATTACTGTCCATTACATGATTGATGCATGAGATGATTTGATTTTGTACATATATTAACAGTTATTGTATTTTCTGTATCTGTGTGTGGTTTATCCAGAGTGGTCTGGATGAGCCTAGCAGTCAGATGCTGCCTGTGAATTCCTCTCTGTCAGAGCAGAATGTGAGCGGAGACAGCAGCAGTGAAATCCAGAGTCAAAAGTCTCCAGATGGGAGCGAAGATGGAGACTCCAGCCAAAGTAAATCCAGATATATTAAATCAGTCTATACATGATGATGGATAGTGTGCAGTAATAATCCCTAATGTAGGATTGTTCTGTGTAATAGTCGCAAGGCCAGTAATTCCCATGAGCAGGGGTAGTATTCATATTTGGAACAAACCACTCTCCTTAGAGCAGACAACCACTGCACCTTTGATCACATCTAATTGCAGAGGCTCCTGTCAGAGCAGATGGATTATGGGATGGATTTTCTTACCAAACACACCCTCTCTCTTGCTCTGATTGACCACATTCATACCAGTTCCACCCTTCCTCAGCTTTACTGACCAGTTTTAACTTGAGCCCCACCCTGACTTCTCCCTGCTGCGTTCTGCTGCAGAGTGCTGACTGATTGCAGCACATATAATAAAGATTACACCTTGTAAAACTTAGCTTAAACCCCATTAACCAATGAATTATTTGCCAAACTCAATGATCTGCAACCTGTGCTCCCTCCCCTGAATAGAGCACTGTGGAAAGGCAGACTGCCACACTTGTGCTACTTGGCTCTTACGGTTGTGTTTGGTATGCAAAGTGATACAAAAAAAAACCTCTTTTAATGCATTCTACTCAGTCATCATCATCATCATCATCATCATCATCATCATCATCATCATCATCATCATCATCATTATCATCATCATCCAGATTTTGTACTTAATTTAGGGAAACTATAAATGTAGACATTCTGATGTTTTCAATGTTCCCATCATTGAAAAGTTAATTACAGTGAGGCTATGTCTGCTCTAATTATCACAAGTAAGCTGCAATTTTTAACTAATGCACCTATAAGCTGTTGAATAGCCCTCCATATTTCTACAATTTGAATTGTATCTAATTAAGTAGTATTGCACTGACTGTTTTTTGCAACCTCTTGCAGGAAAGTTTGAGAAAGTTGATGACAGCACTTCAGGCGATAATTCTCCTGTTCATTCTGGAGCAAACAAACAGCCTGGCCAACGAGCTGTGGGCTCACCAGAATACATGAAGAATAACAGGAGCTTTAAGAAACTCTGGGGAAAGTGAGTGTGGAAAATACATTGATAGAACAACAATACGCCAACATATATGATCACCAAGTACTAGAGAATGAAGGGCAACCAAACATTAACTAGAAGACTCTAGTAAGAGAGAAATATTAAGAGAGATATTTTCATAAAGAAATAATTTGTGCATATATTAAACTATCCTTCTCCTACTGCACTTGCTCTACTATCACACTCACTAAGTAAACACTATAAAATTACTGAAATTACACAATTACACAAAATGATATTGAGTACCTAATAAATGATTACCGTCATTGACTTTCAGTGTTAAAAGACTGCAGTAACTGTTTCTATTATCACCTTTATCCTACCGTAAATCTTCACAGTCCTTTGTTATATTTATCAACAATGAAGTGAACATGTACTGATTGTGCCAAACATAATATCATTTTACTTTGAAAATGAAAGTAGTTTCTAGCATGTTAACCCTCACCCATACAGACTTCGAAGAACCCAGTCTGGAGGGCTGCAGGCAGTGGATCCAGATGTCAGTCAGTTTAGAAGAGGGGGACTTCGTTCGACAGCAGGACCCAGACTGACCAGGACCCCCGAATCTTATGACTCTTCACGGTAAAGCATAGTAGTACTGTAGGCTACTCCTGTTGTAAGTGTTTAAGGGTTTGTATCAGCCAGGTCACCATTATAATATTCTCTTTTAAAGCTTATCCATACAATATTAAGAACATAAATAAAGCAGCAAAAACAATACTTGACTTTACTATGAAAAGATATAGTGGAGAAATGTCAACCTGAGCAGACAATGAAGTTGCTCTTCCTCTGTGCGTGCAAAACCAGTTCAGCCGCGCACGCCGTTTCACTGTTAGCACTGTTAGCTGTGAGCCGCAGGCTCAGCCTTCTTCCATGTTGAGCTTCATGTGGAGGCACGAGATATATTCTGGATTTTGAATTTAGCACCCATCAAAATATCTGGCTTTGCTCTCCTGCCTTAACCATTTTCTAGAAGAGGCTTGATGGCTTGTCTTAGCAGAACAAAATCTGTCATAAATGTTGATGTGATTTATATATCAAGATAGCCATTTAAAATAATTGCATTACATTTATAAACGTATTACATGATTTGTGTTTTTTTATTTTAGTGATATGAACGTTCCATTCAGCCAGTGGACCAAAGAGCAGGTCTGTGGCTGGCTAGACGACTATGGACTGGGCCAGTATGTCAATCTCACCAGGCAGTGGGTTGAAAATGGACAGACGCTGCTGTCTGCCACACCTCAGGACTTTGAGAAGGTCAGAGAATAGAGCAGGCAACTATTGGCACTTAAAAGTAAACACTGTGAAAATATCTTGAATTTACAACTTTACACAGTATTTAAGTATTCAATCAGAATAAATACTCGATGCATCGGATATGTTAGAAACTTAAGAAGGTTTATCAGGCTAAATTAAACTGCATGATGTGTGGGTAAACCTCCAATTATTCCCCAATCATTAGTGTTATTGTAACAAACAGTCCTTTCTAACCTCAGGAAATGGGTATGAAGAATCCACTGCACAGGAAGAAGCTGCAGCTCGCTCTAAAGGCATTCACCACTAAAGTTATAGAGAAATCGTCAGACCTGGACTACATCTGGGTCACCCGTAAGACTCTTTCTAAATGGAATATTATGAACGTTTCATGCTGCAGCTGCATGTTCTCATTTAAATCTCATCAACAAATACAGAGTGGGACTTCTCGTGCCACAAATCAAACAAAGACATGTAATGTGTGGGATGTAAATATATCAGAAAAATGCAAATATAGCCACTGCCAGAATTCAAAATCAGGAACTGCATCTTAACTGAACAGTTACAGTGAACATATTTTGACAGCTGACAGCTGATGAAACTTGATGAAGCATTCAATATTTTAGTGAGTGACGTGAATAAATGTCTGATTTTCACCCGTTTAGGCTGGTTGGATGATATTGGTTTGCCTCAGTACAAAGACCACTTCCATGAGGCCCGAGTGGATGGTCGAATGATACAATACCTCACAGTGGTAAGACTTAAAATACATTAACTTGTCAGACATGTTTTAAAAACATGCTATAAATCTGCATACTTTTCATGAAGTTCACTGATGTTCCTTTGCTGTTCAGAATGACCTCTTGACTCTGAAGGTCACCAGTCAGCTTCATCATCTCAGTGTTAAATGTGCCATCCATGTCCTTCATGCCAACAAGTTCAACCCCAACTGTCTTCGACGTAGGCCAGGGGAAGAGGTAAGCCAAGATAGAAAAGCGTAATTAGAAGTTGAGATTGTGGATTGTGCCAGCGAGCGGTGTATGTAGCAGTTGTATATGTTTTATGTTGTATGTTACATTTATTTTTGTAAATACTGCTCTTAGATGGTGAATAGGTGTCATCCCAACAGTTACCCACAAGATGGCGTCAGACATAATATGCTTTCATACGCAGCACATTGTTTCTTTCACACTGCTTGCCTTGAAAGCCCCAGTGCTGTTAAAGCTTCATTCTACCGACTTCTAATCAATTTTAAGGAAGGGTCATCCGGTGAGTCAGATGGGAAATTTATATTTGGATTTTTAACTTCTTCAGAAACAGCCCTCTCCCTCAGAGGTGGTGCAGTGGTCTAACCATCGCGTTATGGAGTGGCTGAGAGCAGTCGATCTAGCCGAGTACGCTCCAAATCTACGGGGCAGCGGCGTTCATGGTGGGCTGATTGTAAGTGCAGCATTTTGAGCTTGTCAGCAGATTTTTCACACGTTTTCATGACAACCCTGTAAACCTAAATTTGTTGCTGTCATCTGCTGTCAAAAATCTCTTCAACAGATCCTGGAGCCTCGCTTCAGCTCAGAGACTTTGGCACTATTGTTAAATATTCCTCCACAGAAGACTTTGCTCCGCCGCCACCTCGCCACTGCCTTCTCTACCCTGGTGGGACACCAGGCCACACAGGAGAAGCGAGAGTACGGCAATGCCACAGGCCATGTGCCCCTGACTACCACTGCTAAAGTAAAGGTAGGAGCACAATCGTAGAATCAAATGTTTAGTGGTTGAAGCAGCATTAATTGCAAATGATTTATTGACGGGTTAAACTTCTTTTGTGGTTTCAGCCAAAGAAGCTGGGCTTCACCCAATTCAGCCATCTCAGAAAGAGGAAACCTGATGAATCTGCGGACTATATCTGTCCAATAGACAGTGGAGCACTGACAGTGAATGGGGTTTCTCGCCTGCCCTCTGCAGCACTTAGGGGCCTTAGCCCCGCCTTGGACAGACAGGCTGTGAAGCGGGAGCAAGTGGGGATAAGAGCTCAGGCTAATGGCCCAAAACAATAATTTAGAATACAGCACACTCCCCTCATTCATGTGTTGAATTGCTGGATGGGCTGTAAAAATGCTGTGCTAAGCAGGTGATGTAAATTGTTGTTAATATATTTTTAACCAGGTGTTAAAGCAATATTCATCAAAGATAATGATGAATGGTGACATTGTGTGAAAGCTGCTCTCTGCATTCCGTATACAGCTGGATTCCAAAGCTTATATTTTTGCTTTAAAAAAACATTATGCTGACCATTTTGTATGTAAACTTCTGCAGATGTAGTTAGAATATTGGTGACATTATATCTGGATTAACTGCAAAGTAAATAATTGACACCAGTGTCAGTGTTTCAGAGTGTCAATCATTGATTCTCTGTATGACTGACAATAAATCAATCAATTAAAAATTATTATTTTTTTCATTCTGCACCTTTGAATAAGGTTTGTTCGTATAGGAGTCTCCTAAATTGTGCCTTGTTTAATAAGATCCTTGTGAATATGCAGTAATACGATCAAAACAAGGTCAATAGTCTTTTTGTAAGTTTTGGAGACCAAATGCTTTTGCTGCCATCTGGTGCTTAAATGCTTACTATTGTCACTGAACAGCTTGATCGTATTTACATGTATGGTCAATTATGGTTAATTATGGCTTATGGTAGTTATGTGAGTAACAGATGTAGATTTCAAGTTGATGTTTTACAAATTTTTAATTTCAAACAAATATGAACATTGTTGCTGTAGATTTCATGAAAGTCGGAGACACATCACTTCCTGATGATGGATCTCAGGACCTTGAATGGACAGTCAATTGTTTGTTTTTTTGTTCCAGCCCAGGTTGAAAGTTGACGAGTCTGAATCGGCGCATTAATGTAGCTGACAAGACTGACATGAAACCTGATTTGATTTTGTTGATGAGTTAATGAAAATAAATGAGTCAATCAATGATCCTCTTGCTGTTGAATATTAACAGCTTCAACTTAAATTTGGCTTTCTTTCACAAAGTTGAAAGGTTAGTGATTATCACCATGACAAAAATATGATACAACTTTACCAAAATACAATTTGGTAAGAGTATTGCCGGATTATATGGCGGTACTTGCAGACAGTTGTCCACTGAATGTTGTTGACACCAGAAAGATGTTATATGGTTTGAGTCTACAGTTGAAAGGATTTAGTACAATATACAACTTCTTTTACCAGCCACAACAACAACACTGGTATTGTTTTCTCATCTTGTAAGTCTAGTGTGTGTCATCATAGCATAACGTGGTCCTTGAGGCACCTACTGTACTGGGGAATAAACAGAAGTGGTTTTAAATTCTGGTCTCTGGACAGATTTCGTCAATGTGTCAAAACTGTGAAAGATGAAATCACAGACCTTTACGGGTGTGTAGTTGAGATTAAACTGCAGGCTAAGTTTGAAGATGGGTGTGGTCTGAGTAGGGATGTAGGAAGTGGGGAAGGGGTCATTGCACCTTACTTAATGCCCCTGGCCTAATTTGGCATTGCTAGTGGTGTGATCCCATGGCAAGATGGTCTCTAATTTGAACTGATTTCAACTATGTTTGACGATATTAGGAAATATCTTGCGAGACCATGATACAAAGTAATACCATGTCTATGCCTCTGAGTTGTTGATTTATTTAAGTAAAGTATCTATTTTCTGAAAATGTCACTGGTTGACAATAACTAGGTGCCATGTTGTGCTGCGTAGCATTTTTGGATTTCAAAATAAATGCTTTTCTTAATAAGCTCAAACCAGATCGTAACGTATCAGACATGATTGGCTTGATTAGGGCTAGATTTGCCTCTGGCTTTCTATTTGCTTCATTTAACTAATGTCCACTTCATCTAATACCATTGTGTTGCAATTCTTAGGCAGTTACTGTATTTGCCAAATGAGACAGAACCTGTATTAGAAGGAGTATTCCATTTTACACTGACTGAGGGCTGTAATGAAACAAAGTCTCAATAAATGACCAATTTCACTCTGAGTGAATCTACAAGGATTCTGCTGGCGCGTCTGTCAGTGTGGCGGACAGGGCAGCAGTCAGCTCCCCTCTGAACCCTCTTACAGAAGCACACAGTCTCAATTAGACCAAACACAATAATTAGGAAATCTTTTACCTCTGCATATCATTAGTTTCCCAATGGAAAAAATCCTGATCAATGATTACAAATGACAGGTTCATAAATAAATTAGTCCTGCTGATAAGTGGGTAACACAACTCAATTGATCCATGTTAAATGGAAAATAGAGGGCTCAAGGAAGGAGGATTAAGATGGAGGGTTTTGCAAATGTAAAGCCTAAAATACAAAGGAGATAATTGTAAAATGACATATTTTGGTAAATGTCTGATGCAATTTGATAAAAGGCAGCATACACATTTAAAAATAGTTGAAGGTTTAGAAAAAAATGTATCCTTATTTTAAACCAGCAGATGTCAGTGTTGCCTGTGGATTTGTCATGTGCCATGAATACTACTTCACAGTTAATTCCACTGAGTATTTAGCTTGTTTTTTATTTTGCATTATTGTTTAATTTTCCTTTTTATACTGGAGGTAAGTGACACTGCCTCAGTCCTCAGTTTGCCAAAACTACGTGCGGTGTGTTGGACTACATTACTACTTTAAACTGGACGTATTAGAGATCATGTCAGCACAAAGGACATGAAAGGATTTCAACATTAATCAAAAACTGGTTTTGAGTCATATGTGGTTCCAAATGACAGTTCTTGAGATTGTGCATAGGTCATGTGGTTGATGGACAGTCCAGGATTAGAAACAGAGTAGAATGGTATTAGAGGCAGTGTTCGACTTTTAGTCAGAATACAAATGATCAATCTCAAAAATACATATAGACATGAATACAAAAATAAAACATTACGATATATATTAAAATGAGTACTCCAGTCTGTTGTGTGTGTTTATCCATGTGCATGTGTTGAGAGAGGAAGGCATTGTTTATAATAGTGCATCTTAGCTAATTTCAGTAATGTGATCCAGCCTCCACTAGCTGACAGCTTAATAGCTATTATTTGTGTCACCCTCTCTGATAACGCTTTAGCAGTAAATTGCTATGTGCAGGAGACTGTGGTATGACTGACATCTTTCCTTGTAATATGATACCTATTGTTTTAATTAAATGAAAGCGATTGTGACATTTATTGGTTTCAAAGTTACTTGTTAACTGCAGTATAAGAAAAAAACAGAAGATGTTATTATGGTTTACATTGCATAAATAATTTGCAAACCCTTTGCTAATGATACATTATTCTCCCACTGAAACTGTCATTTAATTTGAATACATCAGAAATAAAAACAGTGCATTGGTGATGCAACACAAACCTCCTCTTGGCAATGCCTGAGCCCTCACTCTTCTTTCTCCTTGTCTCTGTCTCATCTTCTTTCTGTGTGTTTCTGTGTGTGTGTGTGAGAGTAATGTTTATTTATGCTGTATCAATTTTGCGGTGACATTTCCCATTTAAATTATAGAGGCCGACTTTTATTCTGTTACCAAGGCTCCTATAAGTAATGCCAGTAGCCAGTGTGTTAGTGCTTTAAGTCATCATCCTGTCTGTTTGATCTATGGACTCACTCAGATGTCTTTTGTGGAGCGTAATCATGTTTTTATATGATGTCACTGGTCGTTCCTGTCATTAACTTGCCACCAGCTTGCCAGTTTGGGGAACATATTCGATGTTAGGGTGGTGCATGTGTTGCGTACTCCCCATCCTGCCACTAAAGCTGTATCTGTCTCCAGCGCACCAGTTTGTTCTGACAGGCCTGCCACAATGATGACTGCATCACCCAGATGCGGCTGAGCAGCTTGCGAACCAACTCTGACACGCCGTCAAAAGGAGCAGCCAGCCGTCTGCATGAGCCTTCTTCTGCCCCATCAAACCTCAGAGCCCATCTCTTCCTGTACAGCCAGCCACCGTTAACCAGGCTGTTTCTCTCTGTTTGCTTTCCATGCTGAGTGCATAACAATCTGGATTGCATGTTGTTGTATAGTATTTACTCCGAAATTCAGTTGAGATAAATCCCCTTTATTATCTGCCGATGATCTAAACCCATCACCATATAAATTGTGACAGTGGCAGTCCAAAACCAGTATGATCGGACATGATTTGAGGAACTAAAGTAGAAGAGCTTGGTTTTGATTGGCCCCTTCTGCGCCAAGGGGCCTTTTTATTGGTGGCCAAGGCAACTTGTTCCTTTTCATGCTTAGTTTGTGGCCAGTTCATAGAAGGAGAGGAGAGACAACTGTGATTATGAGATAAGACAATTACAGGAACAAGTAGTAGATCAAGTATATCTCCAATCCACCAAATATTGACAAACAAGACTCCAGAAGCTTTGGGCCACGAGGACAATGTGACTAACACCGAGATCAACCTTTAGGGTCAAGGGACCCACTGTTGGCATAACAATAGAAATGGTGAAATATTCGCAAGTGGTCTGAGACAAAAACAGGTAGACAGGGAATAAAATGACAAATTATATCATAGTCAAGGAAAAGGATCTGGAATGTTGAAGTACAAACGACTGAAAAAAAGGGAGTTGGGACTGTCCACCTCAATGTCTGACTGGTTGTTCTGGCTGCCAAAACTATCATAAAAGTGCTGAAACTCAAAAGAGTTCACATGTCAGAGGAATGGAAGCAGTTTCCTTACCTCAGGCCATCATCATGGGTGATCAAGACTGACATGCATCACCAGAGGCTTTCATGTCCGATGAGAACACCTGTCTGACTCTCTGGGTGAAAGTGGACAGAGGAATGCCATTGCAGATAACATTTCATATGTGCCACACAACCTCAGAAGACATAGTGGCATAGTGTACCAAAGCAGGGACAGAGATACTACAAATAACGGATAATGAAGGTTTCTGTTGCATTTGATAAAAAAATATATAATTGTGAATCAAACTTCTTATAATGACTGGATTTCATGCTGGAGAGCAAAACTATTTGTTGTCTATCCTAGACATTTAAAGCCTTTGTTTGTGTACCAACTGGGATAAGATGACAGCTTTTAGAAGATGCACATAGAGAGAGCAGTTCTTTATGTGGGTTGATTTATTCTTATTCTTCGGGGCCCATTACAGGGACACAAAGAGAAAGTCAATCAGTAGAGGTTAATGTGGGCAATCTGTAAAGAGAACAGACGATGAATGCAAAACACTCTTGAAGTGTTGCAGAGTAAAATTGTCATGACAGTGACATGGTGTATGTTTTTATTAATACAAATTGTGCCGTATGTCTAGCTTTTCCAACCGTTAGTTGCAATATCGGTTACAATGTTGGTTTACCATACTAACCAAGAGTAATTGGCTCCCATTGTTTTCACATATCAATTAAGAGCTGCTTGCAGAAGAGATACTGTGTAAGTAGGCACAGTGCTGCTTTATGAAGAAATGATGATAAAATGCTCCCAATGACAATGCTAGCATGTCGATGTTAACAGGTAATGTGTAAACCATGGTCTCCGTCTCAGTTTAGCAGGTTAGCATGCTAATATTAGTTAGCAAGCTAACCTGCACACCAAATACAACTGATGCTGAGCCAAATATCACTCATTTTGAGCTAAATTGGCTATAAACCAAAGTATGAAGAAAATTATATTTTGACCTTAACAGCCTCATGACATTTGACTTCTGATTTGGACAGGCAGACAACACACAAGCACCGTTTGGTGCTATTGGTGATTCATTGAGTTCTGCAGTTGGTTCTATATTATCTTTCCTCAAGCGTACGCTGTAAAGGTAAAAATGTGAAGCAATTATCACATATATATGAACAATCTTCTCTTGACATGAGGGATTTGAAGAGGTCACACAGTTAAAGACAGAGACTGTCCTCACCAAAAAACAACATCATTGGTAATTTGTTTTAAATGCTTAACACTCCCTATTGTGTGCTTACATTTTCCTGAAAAGCAACCTGTTGAGGTAGTTGAGAAAATATCTGTCAGCATTGTTTGTTTCTTCAAATGACCTGGTGTATAAATTGATTAATCAATTGAAGAATTATGCAATGTCATGGCCCATCTCTCAGGGGAAGAAGTGTTTACAGTAAACCGGTTTCCCACGTACAAAGACACAGCTGCTATGCTGATCACAGATCAATCCAAGTGATCAAACAAAAACACTGAACAAAAAGAAGAAAGAAAAAGTTAATACTACTGACAAAAATCCTCCACACAAGGTCCACTTCCATCGTGCTTTAGAGGCTTTCAATCATGTCACATGGCATTCCTCAGCGGCTTGAGCTCATTTGAGTAGAGATAGTTTGTATGGATGTATTTGATGTCATGCAACCTAAATTTGCTTTGGAATAGAGTTGCATGCTTCCTTTTTGAGTCAAAATTAAGAAATTGGCTGTTTTGTACACAGATACTCTTATTTTCTTGTCAATCTTTGCATAAACGCAGGTCTCTAGGAACAGTATAGCTCACCATCATTTTTCTCTGCATCTTCATGTGTAGGTTAATTGTTATTGATTATTTTGTATGAAGGTTTTGTATGAAGCTGCTCATACTGGAGGAAGCTGAACGTGTTGTACTACTAGATGTCAGGTTGGGTAGAAGACACAAAGATCTTTTTAAAATGTTCACAACGCGACAAGTCAAGCTTGACTTATTAATTAGTGAGCATTAGAGGTGCTGGCCTGCACATAGCCAGGCTAGCTGCTTCCCCTTGTTTTCAGCTTTTGTGCTAAGCTGCTTGCTGTAGCTTCATATTTAGTAAACAGACATGATTCTGGTCCCCTCACCTAGCTCCCAGCAAGAAAGCAAATATGTTTATTTCCCAAAATGGTAAACTTCATTTACCTTAGGGGCGGCAGATCAGCAGACACTCAAATACTTTTTGATTGATGATATGGGTTATTTTGGAAAGCACTGATAAATGGCTATTTTGTCATTCAGGTTCAGAAAGACTTGTATTGATAGTATTTATTCATGAATACACCATGTACTGTGGTTTTAAGAACCTCTTGTATAAATGCCATGAATGTGTTAGAGATGGGATACATTACATCCCATCTCTTACACATCCTGTTTACAAACTTCAAAAACACACAGCAAAGGGGCTGTTAGATGAAATGAGAGTGCCTCATTTGGGCAATATTGTACAACGAAATATGCAAGAAAAAACAAACCCCAACAGCCATGCTTGATGAAATTACAGACCAAAAAAAAAAAAGGTCTCTGATGAATTGGCACTTAATTACTGCTTGATTAGCATAATTATGCATGTTAATAGCATCTCAAATGAATTGCTGTTGTCAGGAGGGAGGAAGCATCTGTAATGGTG